TTACTACATACATGATGCTCTATAATCCCTCAGCTATAAACAGACACCTCCTTACACAACATGATGAGAGCAGATAGTGAAAGGTTGAGAATGACATGTTAAGAACATCCTGAACCACAGGAATGTGGTCTCTCCACATGGTTCGTTTGACTGTAGTGAAAGGTGAGACTGATTAGAGCGGTGCTCGTTCGTTGTTCAGGTGAAGCTATACGTGTTCTTGTATGAGGGGTTAAAGTTATACTGGGGAGATGACTGTACCACAGTCATTTGAAACAGCTGTAATTTAATCTCATCAATTTAAACACATTGAACACATCCCCATCTTGACTGCACAAAGACTCAGCCACTCTGCTGCTGCTCTTTTTTATACCCAATCATGATACTCACCTTTTTCCTGTTAACCTTATTAACTGTGAGATGTTCTATTAGCTGTTATTGAAAGACTTTCTCAACTCTTTGTCCCCTTGTTGCAACTTTCAAAACTTTTTTTAAACATGCTTTCAGCCTCAAATTTAAAATAGGAGTCCATTTTTCAAACATTGATAGAATTTCTCAGATTCAACATTTGATATGTTGTCTTTGTGCAATTTTAAAAAAATAATCATCACCTTCTATTTTTATTTTCATTTTACAAAGCATCCCAACTTTTAGGAATCAGGGTTATAATAATTAACAACATGAATACTCGGCTTGAGAAGTTATTTGCATGATTCAGAACCTTGCAATGCCATTTGTTCTGCATTATGAACCATTATGAGGCACTATGCACCCAGAAAGTATTTTCTGAAGATCAGATGAACGTTAAAAAAAGTCATCATACTTCCCTGGTATCATCAGGTCCTGGTAGTAAAGTAATCCAACAGGATTAAAGATATGGATAGGATCAAATCTTGAAATCAGGTTGTTTAAAGAAGAAAAGGAAAACATAACCAAATAAAACCAATCCAATCCTGTTTTGTTCACTGGTAAAACCTTCAGTTTTCTGCAATTTTCTCTTCAACTGGCTTCACTTCCACTGCGCACTATGGCAGTGTCCAGCATGTGCTGGCCAACCTGAGATCTATGATGAGCAGAGAAACAAATACATTCTAACAAGCAGTGATATAGCAAGAAAGATTCAACTTTGAAATGTAGAGTTTCAATTCATAATATATTAGCAGAAAATAAATTGTTGTTAATGATTCTTACATAGAACAAGTGAACTTATCAATGTTGCTCGTTGCTCCACAGAAACTGTGTGCTGCTCTGTAGGAGATTCCGGGGCTGGGATGCAAACAACAGGTTCGTGAGGTTCAGGCCTCCGATCCTGAAGATAACCATGGTCAGATCTTTACACAGTTTAGGTTGGTGAAACACTTGAAGTTAAATAAATAAAATACTATGGATTCAGATGAATTGATATAAATCAATGCAGAACAATTAACAAATGTGTTTTTTAATTTATATATTGACTCCACACATAATTTTTTTGATGAGCGCTAAATTGCCCAAATAGAAGTAACGAGATAAAGAAACAGATTATTGGCTAAAGACAAATCCCTTTCAAACAAAAATATTTTTTGTATCAACATGTATCCGATTCGTTTCAAAACTCTAAATGCAGTGAGGGGCCAATCACTCTCTTTATAAATATAATATGTTCAAATGTTTTTTTTGATAAGACAAATCTTTTTAAAGTGTGCATTTTTGATTCTATTATGTTGGTTTAAAAAAGTGAATGCATCAAAAATAGATTTGTGAACTTTCTTTGAGGATATGTGGATTTTTTTTTTACAAATACATTTTTGTTTTGTAGAATAATTTACTTTGTATATAACTCTTTGAAAAAACCTTTTTGAATCCTTCTGTGATCATCAACATCAGAAAATGATCTTGTTTTGTAACTTGCATACCTACAATATGTGCTTTATATTTCACTATCTGAAAACTCTGGCCAGAGCACTATTAAATCAGATCATATGTCATTGTTGAATTTTAGTTACAATATATTAATCACATCAGCACAAAACAAACAGTAGCCTTTATTTAAGACTGATCATTACTACTTACTACATACATGATGCTCTATAATCCCTCAGCTACAAACAGACACCTCCTTACACAACATGATGAGAGCAGATAGTGAAAGGTTGAGAATGACATGTTAAGAACATCCTGAACCACAGGAATGTGGTCTCTCCACATGGTTCGTTTGACTGTAGTGAAAGGTGAGACTGATTAGAGCGGTGCTCGTTCGTTGTTCAGGTGAAGCTATACGTGTTCTTGTATGAGGGGTTAAAGTTATACTGGGGAGATGACTGTACCACAGTCATTTGAAACAGCTGTAATTTAATCTCATCAATTTAAACACATTGAACACATCCCCATCTTGACTGCACAAAGACTCAGCCACTCTGCTGCTTCTCTTTTTTATACCCAATTATGATACTCACCTTTTTCCTGTTAACCTTATTAACTGTGAGATGTTCCATTAGCTGTTATTGAAAGACTTTCTCAACTCTTTGTCCCCTTGTTGCAACTTTCAAAACTTTTTTTAAACATGCTTTCAGCCTCAAATTTAAAATAGGAGTCCATTTTTCAAACATTGATAGAATTTCTCAGATTCAACATTTGATATGTTGTCTTTGTGCAATTTTAAAAAAATAATCATCACCTTCTATTTTTATTTTCATTTTACAAAGCATCCCAACTTTTAGGAATCAGGGTTGTAATAATTAACAGCATGAATACTCGGCTTGAGAAGTTATTTGCATGATTCAGAACCTTGCAATGCCATTTGTTCTGCATTATGAACCATTATGAGGCACTATGCACCCAGAAAGTATTTTCTGAAGATCAGATGAACGTTAAAAAAAGTCATCATACTTCCCTGGTATCATCAGGTCCTGGTAGTAAAGTAATCCAACAGGATTAAAGATATGGATAGGATCAAATCTTGAAATCAGGTTGTTTAAAGAAGAAAAGGAAAACATAACCAAATAAAACCAATCCAATCCTGTTTTGTTCACTGGTAAAACCTTCAGTTTTTGTTGTCTAAACTTTTGACTAGGATTTCTTTAATCCAAAAACTCAGGATTATGGTGATACCAGCAGAGTGCTGGATTCAGGCTGGATTACAAGAAAATGTCAACTATGACGTTGCATATCAAATGTGTTGCAGCTGAGAGGTTCTCTCAACTTGTGTGGATTGTGGCGCCCCCCTGTGGACAAAGTATGCAGTGTGAGGTCCTCTTTAGAGCACTGCTGAACCTTTTAGGCCAAACAATAGAATACTTTGGTTCATCTATAAAAGTCACTGCTTGGATCAGATTGAGCTAATTATGTTTTGTTTTGTTGTGTTTTTTAAACAAGCATGAAAGTGAGTTGGGCTAGTGATCCTAGGTAGGTAAAAGTGAAAAAGAGTGAACTGGACTCCTGGATATGAAAAAAAAGTGGACTACCTAATCCAGATCATTCTTATCTGGATTCATTTGAAACAACTGGGCTCAGATAATTCTTAAAGGACAACATCTTGGGGATATGGAGGTAGAGTGAGGCAGAAGGTTGAGGAGGTATTTCAAGTATCAAACACAACAAGGCACTTCATATTGACTGTACCAATAATTCTTTAAATGCAGAGTCAAATGTCACATTTTAAGAGTATTTTAATGTCCAACTGAATTTACATTTGACCTTTTAACTGCTCAATAATGTAAAAATGTGTGACCCTTTATTTATTTTTTTACGTTGATGTCTTTTGTAAGCAGGGGTGTGTTCAGACTTTTTGTGACTGGGTTGGCCCAATTGGTGCAACACCGTATGCAGGGATGGCATCAAGTATGTGTGTATGTCATTTATGCATTTACCCTGTCTGTCTCCAGTACACATTTTCTTTAATTACTACTTACAATATAGTATCATACAGATGTTATTTAATGTGTAATATTTCACCAGACGAACACAAATGAGTCGAAATATCATCTTTTCAGCTTGAATCTTTAAGTACTAAATTTAGCTCCATTAAAATATAGAAAAAGCTCCTCACAGCTTGTTGCTTCACAACCCATCAAGTTGATATTTATACAGGCTTTATATTAAGTTTATTATATGTCCCACCTCTGAAAATTAGATTTAATTTAAAATGTGTTTAATTTAAACTGTTGAAATAGGTCATTCTTCCCAAATGACTACATTTAAGTTTGGGTATTAAAATATGTTTTGATGGCACTACTTCTTTCATATATAAAAATATAAATAGAGGAATATTTTTAACAAGATTTATCAAACTGATCAAATGTCTGTAACGGATGTATCCATAGATAAAAGTAACCATAAGTAACCAGTAAGAAACCGAGTAAATGTCATGCAGAAGTACAAAGCAGAAGGAAAAAGGGTAAAGGAAAACTTTACAAATACCTACAAAGTAAACTCAAATGCCAACATGTTGTATTCACATCGGCTAAGAAATCAGGGTTAGGGTTCTAACCCAAACTTAAATTACAGTCAAACACTATAAAGAATATGATGTGCAATACCGCAGTGAGTGAGCATGTGCATGTGTGTGCATTCGCTTAATACTTCAGGTCCCCCTTCATAAGTTATGGATCATTCAATTTGAACTTGGAAGTCTGAAATTCCTAGTTACCGGTCTGGTACGTCATCAGGAAATTGAACTCACCATCAGTGCCCCAGTTGGACTACCCCACCGCTGTCAAAAAGTCTAGGTCTGCCAACACCACTTGAACCAGAATGTAAAATTGTCTTGTAATCTCTGAGGTTGGATTTGGTGAGGGTCAATTTATTAGTTGCTATTCAAAAAATTCTGCAGAATGACTTACTTTTTAAAGTGAGGAGTCTTTTCAGTAATTAGTAGAGACCTTCCTTTATGTACGCTTCATTTTTGATAATTAAAACTCCCACGGCAACTTGACACTGCAACCTAACCAACCACGTGAAGCAGCCACGCCTTCAGCCGTGCTTAAAGAGCCGCAACGTCAACCAACCCCCAAGCCGCAGAGATAGGCTGGCATGATGGAGCGGAGGTGAGCTGATATTGGGGGACAAGTCTGGAAAATAAGCGCTTGAATACAACAAAAGTGGGTGGAGTTAAGATTGCCGTAGGTAGAGGAAAGATAGTTTCTGTCACACACCTCCAAGCCATGCGTTATGATAACTGTGACCTCCGTTTGTGAAGAGAATGCACGAGCATGAAGCAGCGGCAGACATGCGGCTGGTCCATCGGATCAACACAGGTATGAAGATCCAGGCGGGGGGCGAGCACATGGGGTGCGGCGGAGTCAGAGAAGATCAGAAGAGCCAGGTCATCTGTCTCCAGTGTCAGGACGAGGGTGTGCGGGTCTGTCCAGGAAGTCCGCGCAGTCCTCGCTGCGCTATCGCGACGCGTCTCTCCTCCGGATCCGCAGGTAAAGGCATTCTGCAGTGTATGATACTAAAAAAAGAAAAAAAAAACATCTGCCAGAGGATACTTTTAACTATGATATGTCATCATGTGTTGCTAATTTCTCCTATTATTCTGTTTTCCTTGTTGCCGGGGGGGGGGGGGGGGTAAAATTAGGGTTTGGCGATCCAATGTGATCTCAATCACTGCTTGGGACAACTTTTATTCATACAGAGCAGATAAAGCACAAGTGCAGGCTATCCCACCGTTAGTTTAAAAAAAGGGGGGAAAAAAAAGAGGATGAATAAACTTGGTTGTGAGTTTTCTTCGATGGTGCTGTCAGTTGACCACATAAGAAATATGAATTATTCTTATTACATTTTCAGCAGGAGTTTCCTTGGACTGTCATGCTAGTTTTCATTGTCCTCCAAATGGATGCAATGTTACAAAACAAATCATATTTCTTGCTTGGTGCTTCTTTTTTAGGTTGCCACAACAGACTGGTATCACTATCTCTTGATTTTTCATGGCAAAATCTAACTCATTCACCTTATGCATTAAGGAAACACGATTATTAGAGTGCTCTTTATTTTAAAGTTGTAACTGCCTTAGGTTGAAAACATCGTGAAATAATGAAACTAGAAAACAGTTGCTTAATGGAAGCATATGGCCTCTTATTTATAGAGCAGTAGAAGTAGTTATCACAGCTACATGATATAGTTTAACTCCTGGATGCAGCTTTTACCAAAAAAAAGCTAATAAGTAGAACTCCTTCAGACCTCACAGTGAATTCCTTTGCAACCAAAGCATTATTTACGTGTAAGATCCCGCCACTTTCCATAACTTCGGTAATAGATGATACCTGCAGCTTTACCTCTAAAGATAGAAGCACATGCGAGTGCTTATGCTGAGCAGACTCTCATCAGTCAGTGATAAATGCAGTTGCTTTTCTGTACTGTGGCCTGTAGGTGTTAGATTAGAGAATTAGGACATGAGCGCTTTTCCACAGAAGTTCTCTTTAATAGATGCATGAGCAGAAGTGTTTGCATTCAGTTCTCGGTCTGATGCAAAACTGCAAGGGGTGTCCTTCAAGTAGCGACTGCATTGCCACAGAGTCTTTTCCCTCTGCTGCAGAGTAATGATTTAACCTCTATCTCCCTTGATAACATGGAGTTCCAAATTAAGCCTCTAGTTTCCAGTGTCAAAGGCTATTTTTTTAATTGACCACGGAACCTCAGTGATTGCAAGCTGTGTTTCTCATCAAGATACTCAGATAACTCTATATGTATATTTATTGCAGTGTGTACCATGAAACACTAGTAACGTTGTTTGAAACTTTAATTTGTCACAGTTGCTCCCATATGTAGAGTTGTATACATCTTTAACTCCTATTTCATTCTTTTGTTGTGAGGTTCAAACAAAATGTAGTGGCTTTTTTATCTGATTTGACACCCCTGGTGCATCCTAATAATCCTGAAATCTGATTGGCTATTCCTTTGTCAGAGGCCAAAAAACTATTTTAAATGAAACTATTTGGGCTATTGAAGGCTGGTAGTAGTTAATTTTGCATTTCAATATAGTGCTTTTCATTTTGTCATTACTTTAAATTGTGACTTTGCACATACAGTACATATTTAAGAATTAAGCTTAAAAGATTTATATGTTTCTACCTTTTTACTGCAAAAAGATATACACAGGAATATGACATCTTTCTTTAAGGCTAGTAGTAAATTACATACCAAAATTGCTGGGTTAAAAAAAAACCAAAACAGGTCAAATAAGGGCCAACTACCTGCTCGGTTTATTTTTACCACACAAGATCTGTTACCTGTTTAACCCAGCCACATGGGTCATATATTCACCCAAGCTCCTGATTAATTTTAACTGTATTTCTGGTTTATTTCTACCCCAATGTTTGTTCATTTTATTTTGAATGTTGGGTTACTTTTACCTCATCAATGGGTTTCTAATTTCTCATCTCTTCTTTGAGTAAATTAAGGCAATTCCTTCTTGTGTTTTTACGCACACATACTTTCAGCCAACCATGAATAGGTCGGTGCCCCAGTTGGGTCGACACTGACGTCAGAGAATGTAGTTACCCCGATACAAAGTTTTTATTCCAGAGCTTGAGGTTGAAGTATTTAAACTTTGTAAAGGCTGTGCCTCAGGTCTTCAGACTAGAATCATTGCAGATCAATAAGCACCAAACTTTCTTTTGTCAGGCTTTGAGATATTCATTTAACAATGTTGTGAATAATTGTGTCATATAACGTCCTCTAGAGTGATGGGCTCATTGAGTTTTATTCACCATGTTCTGCTACATTGGATAACTCCATTTCTTTCTCTATAAATTGGTAGACCAAAGCACTAAAGCTGCCAGACTCATGGATTTTATCCCCTTAACTCCGACCAAGGTCAAGGGTTTTTCCCCCTGTGTGGCTCGATGTGTGGAGCAGGGCACTAACATTGCAGGATTGGGGGTTTTATTCCTGTAACACTGCAGGGTCATGACTTTCCTCAAATTGCCAGGAGCAGTGCTGTAAGCGGCTTAGTGCACACTTTATTGACACTCTGCGAACCAGGAAAACATTTTTTGCTGTACAGAATGGAAGAAAAAAAGTACATTAAAGTATGACTGTGATGATTTTGTTGATCATAAGTGGTTTGGATGTAAAGAGTTTACCTGATGTCTGCTTCTGTCACAGACCGTGAGCCCAGCAGTGGCAGCTACAATGTCTCTTCAGGAACCTTCTACAGCTGCGTCAGTCAGATCACCATCGGTAAGTGCACTTTGGGGAGGAAAAAAGTTAACATGAAAGGAAAATCTTTGTACATTTTGCTACTGACTTATATTTAAACTGTAATCTGTATCCGGAAGTTAAAGCATATGTAGAGTGATGTTATTTTGAATCTATTGATGCAGTTGAGTCTGTTTTATAATTGTCATAGAAAATACATAAGCTACTTTTTTCTAGTTCAATATGGTTAATGGACTTGAGCTTATATAGTGCTTTTCCAGTCTTCTGACTAAGTGCTTTTACACTGCATGTCATACCTACACATTCACATCCATTCACACACTGATGGCAGAGGTTGCTATTTAGTGAAACCATCAGAAGTAACTAATCCCATTCATTTGCACCGACGAAGCAGCAGGAGCAATTTGGAGTTAAGTGTCTTACCCAAGGACAAATTGGACATGTTGCTGCAGGAGCTGGGGATTGAACCCTTGACCTTCTGGTTGAGAGACGACAACTCTACCAACTGAGCCACAGCCACCCCAATGTGTAACATATTTTGATTTCTATCAAAAATTGTATCTGGTCAAATCAGGTCAGCAAAGTCAGTGATCTCTTTTTAAGTTCTTTTTAAAGCAACTCTAGAGGTGAATTCAGTTTGGTGCGCTTTGGCTCCCATCCAAGGTCGCTGAGTGCAACTGCACTGTAGAGAACTTTTGTTACTTTATGGCTGAAAGCTGCTCTGTGAACTAGTGCTGTAAAGCTGTATGCACTTTTCACCAGAACCTTGGACCGCTGCCAGTTACATAGTGCTGAAAACAGGGCACCCAGGCTCCTTTTGGAAATCTGGCCACTGGCGGCTGGCCGCCGGGACCGCCACTGGCCGCAGCAGCCGAGAAACAAAACCAGCCTGTCAGCTGCAACTGTCTCCCGGCTATATTGCTGGCCGCCGCCGGCCACTGCGAGCTCAGCAGCCGAGACATAAGGCCTGCCTGTCGGCGGTGGTGAGGACAAGGAGCCGGGGCCGGATCGAGCTGGGACGGACTGGTAGTGTTGGTCCTCTCAGTGTTTGCCTTTGGACACAGACATAGAGTCTGTTTTCTGCCAGGAATTTCCAAGATGCCAATTCTCTCTGGAAGAAATCTCGGAATCAGTTGAGAAAACGGCCGTATGTGTTGAAGTAAATATGTCTGTAAACCTGACCTTAGTGGGAGTGGCCTGCGGTGCTGTGCATTCTGGGCCAAAAAGACACTTTCTGCCTTTTCTCGGCCAAGAAGGCACCAACTTCAAAATGTATTTCACATTTCTACTACATATATGACCCAATGTCAATACAGATTCATGTTTCAACGGGTGAAGTATCCCTTTAATAAAGTTGATATCCGTGCTGCAAGTGTTGCTGGAGCTTTTTGACCTCTTCAAGCCTTTCACTCTTCATGCACCTTGGTAGTTGGTGAAGGTGTGCCATAAAATCCTCTGCTTCTTTGTGGAAATGGGAATGCTATTCTCCATGTCAAACGTTATTGAACTATTAGATCGACTTTGAAAAGACTATTTTATGGTTAAAAAAGGTAAATATTGTCGCTTTTATCTCAGAGCCTTTTCTGATTTTTTTTTTAAATTCCTTTGATGTGTTTCAATGTGTATATATAAAAAACATTACTTACATTTCTTAATGGAGGCTTTCCTTTTACAAGCTCTTGATTTCTGTGAAAAAGGAAGATCAGAATTTCCGTGCGGTTGTGCCTTTGTGGTGAGAAGACAGGATCCCGATATATTCCCAAAGTAAAAAATCAACAACATTAAAAATGCAAACAGCAAACTACTTTTTTAAGTTTTTCTCACAGATTGCATTGAGGTTTACGATCACTGATTCATACAGCTTTTGCCTGAAACACATGGGCCCCAAACAGAGGGCTCCTGTACTCAGGTGAGACTCATGCTTACATAACATGGTTATGAAGAAGCCTCCTAACAGCAGGCCCTTCAGGCAAGCTTTGGGAAAGTGAATACTTATCAGTTACTTCACAAAATATATTTGGCTTATCATAGCACTGAAGGACAGTGTTATGCAAAGCTCTAGTGAGAAAAAGAAGATATGACTTAACTGCCGGAGGATGATAAGTGTTGTTGCTAATGGACGGATGGTATTGACGAAGATAATGTTTGGGGTATCTGTACAGTATGAGTGTTACTCATGATATTTAACAAAATCCAACCTTCATAACAACAACACCTCTGAGAACTTACTGAATGCATTGTGGTGCTGTTTCAGTGAGCTTCCTAACGGGATGCCTAAAGAGAGAGAGGTAAATGTTTTGTTAGCTAAGCTGCAAGCAAAAGATTTCCCTTGGAGTTTAACTTTGTTTATCTGCTGAGGTTTGTAGACAGGAAATAGTGCATTGTTGACCAAGTTGTCTGAAATAATTTTCTTGTCTGTCAGAAAACTGCAAGGTGCTGCTGTTTGCAATATTCAGACCTTAAGTTTTGACATGTTTTCGATGAATATTAGCCTTGTTAGAAAGACAAGCTGTGTGCTGAATGTTGTGACAGGTGAGATTTTAGGTTCAGCTCAGGCTGTGCTGCATGCAGGTGTTCCTCTCCTCTCTCTGGGCTAAATAAAATTAAAAAAACGAATGAAGTGCTGAGGGGGAGCTTTGGACCGTTGAGACTCACCCTCTTGGTTTTACAAAGGGGAAAGATCTATAGTGCTGCCCAGCACTCTTGACATTAAAAAAAAGAGTTAGTGTGCTGCTGAGATTTAAAAGCCCTGGCCTTTGTTTGGAAAGAAAAACCTAGTCAGCATCATCGTCGGTTCTTTAAAGTTCTAATCGATTATAATCTCCCATTTATTCCAGCCTCCTCCTTTTGTATAAGTAATTTACTATGGTTGTGCAGCTGATAGACAGAGCTGGTCTTCAGCCTGAGGCGGAGATTCAAAGAGGATGACGTGGAGAAAATCAGGAGCACCCTGCTGAAACTTTTCTGCATCAACTGATCACTGCTATACACATAAGGGATAATCCCTGAGGAGGTGTCCAAATGTCAGGTTTTTGTGGACAACATGGAGGCCTGCCTACAGAGTCCATAAAAATGTCACTAATGTCCCCAAAGGGATCTGTCCTGCTTATATCGTAGTAACTTACTACAAACAGAAAAGACCATAACTTTATGCTTTCATGTTTTTTGCAATCAAAATATGAAGTTTTAAAGAAGCACAAAGTGTTTACCTCATAAAGTCAAGGGGTCTGACTAATACCTGGAAAAGCTATTCCAATCACATAGGGGTCAAATGCAGTGAAAAATGTGTTGTCTTTCCCAGTATGTAGAATGAGTCTTAGTTACGACTTAGCATCAGGAGGTATTTATAGTTACCAGTGCATCTCAATGACTGCCTCTGCTTAACTGTGAGTTGTAAAGCTAACAGTATGCTAGCAAGATGGAAAGTCAATAATAGTGCACATAATATGAATTATACAATATGATGAACAACAAGACGATAGAACAAACCACAGACTGTATAAAAAGACAGACGACAGCTGCCAAAGAGTTGAGCCAAAATATTTGGAGCTCCCTCTGCTGACCGACTGGCTCAGATGTGACACGAGTCATACTTTAAAATCAAAACAAACATCATAATAGATTATATATATTTTTTTAATTCTTAAACATAATTCTTATCACATGTGAACATGCTGAGAAATTTGGTTTTATTTTCTTATTTGATGCAAAAAAAAAAGGGACTGTACCAACCTGAGGTTGGTTCAGAAGATGAAGACCACAGGAGAAAATGTCATTTTAAGCATCAGTTTGGACGGACAACTTTAAAAACAGATGTGTATTCCAGTTGTAGGAATCAAATTGTGGAATTCTTTAAATAATGACTTGAAGAGTTATGTGAATATATTTCAGTTTAAGAAAATGTACAAGGAGAAAGTTATTAGACTGAATGAAATAATATAATAATTAACTAATGGCAGTTAGTGTGTTTTCCTCCCTATTTATGTGGAAGTGAAGTCCCTAAATTGTCAGATTTGTTTCATGTTGCCATGGTATTAGTTGCCTAGTGATTGTAATTTGACAGACCATCTAGAAATTTCTTGTTTTCTTTTTGAGTTACTGGCAGGCAAAATAAGATGTATTCTTCTCCCTGCTCCTTTCCGAACATGGATTGGGAGTTTAAAAAAAATGGTGAATCGCTTTATCGGTTGGTTAGATGTTTGTTTCTGCAGAGGTATAGGATATTAATTCCCTTGCTCCACCAGCCAATTTCTACTGACTTCAAATGATGTCACCAATGTAACATGTCACAGACATCACGGGTGATATTTTAGCTTCATTTTTGCACAACTGTAGGAGTTGGAGACAGCTGTCCATATTTATATGCAGTGCACAAACTACTATAAAACCCTAATACATTTTCAAATGTTTTCAAAGAAAAACATAGATTTAACACAAGTCGATTATGCAACTGCACCGTAATGAAGTTCCCTGTCATTACCCCTTCTGTACTTGTACAGTGGAGTCGCAGCAGAGTAATATTGGTGTACAAGTTTGTGGTTTCACATTATCTTATGGAATTTTGGAAACAAATGAGACACAATGAAAACAGTGAGAGCTTCACATACACTCATGTTCTTTTCCACCAAGACACACAGCATTATGTGTGTGTTTGTACCAAGCAAGTTCTGACTGTGCACTTTGCCACCTTCTAGCCCCTGTTATGTCTCTGTTACTTCTTCTGATGGCAGATCAGGGGTAGAATGACTTTGCCCCACCATTCTGCCTCTGTTCGTTACACCTTGAACTGGCATTATGTAAAGGGCTGTTTTTAAACAAGTTCAGACCACAAACTCCTACACATTACATGAACACTCATTCAGCAAACTTACAAACTTTTACACTGCATCGGCCATCCATCCGCAGAAGTACCTCCACTGCAACTCTGCCTATGATGATCGCAGACACTCAACTCCAACTTGTCATTGCATAATACAGCGTGTGGCCCAGATACCTGCACCTGCATCTGTTTTCTCACTTCAGCCGGTGTCAGGAAGTGTAGGTGCTACATATCTGGGCCTCCCTCTCCTCAGAGAGCCTCGTGGGCACTTTTTTCTGATGACTGCGACATACATCTTGCCTAGGACACAATATGTCCGCAAAGGCTGCGCACACCTCAAGTTTTGGAGGTCATTCGGATACATGCTAGGTGTGGATTACCTCCTCTGCCCCTCTTGCCTTTTCAGGTGACTTTCATGGGATGTTGATGATTGTTGGCTCATATAATTACTATCTTTAATTGTTTTTCTTTTGAATACATCGACAGACTTCCTGTACAAATCATTAATTTGTTAGATTTGATTACTCTTTAGAAATGCAATCAATATATTTCCAGCATTCAAATGACAACTATAAACTCTGTTAGGGTTAGGGCTACAGCTGTGGCCTAAAGCGTTATTATTTCAGGGATGTTTTCTTGTGAATGCATTGCATCAGGACTTACTGAAGGGAGCATCTCCAAACATGGCACAATCCACAACTTGGCCTCAAAGATGATTTGATTGGGTCAACAACAGTCAATGTCAATATGAACTCACTTTGCCCTGTTTGTGGGAAAGCTACAATCCAGCAATGCCTGGAGGCAACTTCTTTAAATCTCTCATTTCTCATCTATCCCAGATGATTATGAATTGATTTATAGACAATATCTTCTTGCTCTACTCTTATTGCCTTTATTGTTAGTTTTGCTGTCACAAGAGGGGTCTATTGATGATCTCAGAAACAGAAAGATAGATGTACAACATACCCTGTCCCAGTAGCCCTGATACTGTCATTATGTGGGCAACATTAATGGAACTGCAGATTGAATGGCGGAGGCATACAACTGTGAGGCCTAATTTTAAGATAGTTAAAGCCGTTTTCACACATGCACTCCTGAAGATTGCGTGAACATTTCAGGACAGCATGCTCGTGACGTCTTCCTGAGTTCCTTGGACACACATGTCCTTTGCAGCGGGAGAGTTTGACTGTCTGACAGTGGGGTAGGAGGTCTCAGGACATAAGACAAATACAGTAACCAAGATGGCAGACAAACAACAGAGTTGGATGCTTTGATGTCTGTTTTTGCCTTCAAATCAATGCTACGTGTAATTGGACATGTGGTGCCTCTGTTATGTTTTGAGTTTGTAAGAGAGAAAGTAGACCTCTGACAGCCATCTTGTTTGTGTGTAAGACCGTCAGAGAGCTCTTAACTTAAGTAATGAGTATGAGCTGGTTATCTATGCTTTAGTATTCACGCATCATCAGTGAATATAGCGCTGTGGAAACTTGGCTTTGTATGCTCGATATTAAGTATTGTAGAATAAAAATGCAGTGTGGAAATCCCCACTCTGTTGTCTGTCAACCATCTGAAGCTAACCAGCTAACCTGGGGCTTCTGCTAATTGCTACCTGCTGCTAGCTTCTCCACCTGCACCAGCCACGTTGCAACACGCAGCTCATTCCAAACTGTTTCAGGACATTTTCAGGAGCACAGTGTGGGCGGCTGTGGCTCAGTTGGTAGAGTCGGCGTCTCTCAACCGAAAGGTTGAGGGTTTCGATCCCCATCAACATGTCGGATGTGTCCTTGGGCCAGACCCTTAACCCCCATTTGCTACTGCAGCTTTATCAGCAGTGTATGAATGCGTATGGATGGGATTAGTTACTTCTGATGGTCTCACTACATAGCAACCACTGCCATCAGTGTGTGGATGGGTAGGTGTGACCTTCAGTGTAAACGCGCTTTGAGTAGTCAGAAGACTAGAAAAGCACTAAACAAGCTCAAGTCCATCCAGTCCATGTGTGGAAAAGGCTTTAGAAAAAGAAAAAACGGCAGCTGCTGAATCCTAGCGAAAGAAAGACTGTCAGACCTATTTCAATTCAATCATACACCATATTGCTCTCTTTTCCATGAACCAGTGTTTGGGTAAACTAATGTGATTCTTCAGCCTGCACAGTTAGGAGTACAGTATCTACAGTGGAAATGAGTACATTGTTACTATAATGTATATTTGCTGTACTCCTTTGGTTGTTTCGGTTCACAGACATTAACACCTTGGAATATTTTCTTACATTGTTCAAGAAGTCAGATGTACCTGACAGCATCCCCATGGGGACAAAATAATAACTTCTTTGTGTTCTAGTTGTTGAAACTGCTGACTGAAGCACAGGCATTATTCCAGGGGACCTTCACACGAATGCAGTCCAACACTGTCATGTGAAAACCCCTTTATCTTTTATCTTTTTAGAGCGTTTGAGGCTGTATATGAACTGAATTATGTAGAGTAGCTTGGATTTACCTCCTCAGAATGTATCCTCCAGCTGAATGTGCTGCGTGAGGAGCTAGCTGCTCAGAGACTGCCAGGCGTTTCACTATTCTGCTATTGATCAGGATCTTTTTGTTCACTGCTGATGAACATTTGAATTTAGCTGGGCTGTGTGATTCACAGGAAACAAGGAAGCTGAAGGATGGTGTTCCCTTTTGTGGTACAGTGTTTCGTTTATTTAGTAATCATTTTAAAATATGTCTTTCCTCCCCCAAAAAGTTACATTAGAATTACATGTGACTGTTTTTTTTTTCATGCTCAGGGGATATTTACATTGAACTAAAGCAGCATATGGTCAGTTACAATGAAAACAGAGTTAAGAGAAAGAAATGAGTGAAGATGGTCAGCTATGATGGTTAATCATAACCTGGAAATAGCAAATAAAATGCTGGTATACAGTCAGGGATCAATTAATTTCTGCACAGTTCATATATATGTAATTTATAAATAAATACATTATTAAACCGATAGAAGTTTCCCCAAGTGGGGGAGGGGTTACTGCCCTTTGTGATGTCATGAAGGGAAAATCGCCAAACGGCTTGTTTGAGCACACATTTTCTGAAAAGTGGAAGCAGGCAGAAGACGGGGAGGATGGACTGTTCTCATATTTCGGGGGTTTGAAGACGGACTAGGGGCACATGATAGAGTTAGAAAAATATGGTGAAGTTTATTTTGCATAATAAGTGACTTCAAATTCAAATAATTGTATATATCCGTCAGGAACTTCAGTTGTGTAAAAAAACATCAGTGTGTACATGAAAACCGGCACAACACAAAGACAGCCACACACACACAAACCACATTCAACATCCTAAGTGCAAGTCATTGTATCTAATGTCTCCACATTTCATGCTGTGTTGAGACATTTTATGTATACATTTACGTGTCGTTTAAATGATTTAGAAAATTAAATCATCATGTCTTTCACTCAGCCTACATTTTTGTTGTTGTTGTTGTTGTTGTTGTTGTTGTTGTTGTTGTTGTTGTTATGTCCTGCCTCCTGCGATATTCTCTTTCTGACATTCTCTTCATCTGTGAGCGAACTGGAGTCCGTTTGTACACATATACCTGACTGATTCTGATTCTGATCAGACTCACTGCTTTTGCTGGACGTGGGAAAAAAAAGATTTAAGTGCACAGTATCCCTTCTCCCCTGTCAGAGAGTCAGCAAGTCTTTTTTGATTTTGACAGTTGAATAATGTTTTAATGATTTTGAAAGCTTCCACCACTAGAGGGCAACCTGACTGAGGATAATACTGTGTTACTGAAGACTCAAAACTTCAGACCTTCTATTAGCTCTGAGTAGTGCTCGGAGAGGCCATAAAAATGTCATCATGTCTAATAAAGTTAATTCTACTGCGACCATGGAAAATGTGTTGTTAGACAATGCAAGAGTCTAATGCATGAAAAGATGTATAAAACCTTTGTAATGATTGTGGTCTGACTCATTCCACAGGGTTTGACCTGGGGGGTCAAGTTGCCATTGGTTTCTCCCACTGGAAGAGTCCTTTCCCTGGGAACAGCCAGAACCTTCCGAGTCCAGACTGCGTTCACTCTGAGGCCTCTGCAGTCCCGCCCAGCAGCGAGCACCTGGAGCCGGTGTCCTGCCCGGCGTCGCTGTCAATCAGCCCGCTGCCCACCTTCAGTGCAAGCCAGGAAACGCTCTGTGACAGCAGCACAAGTACGTACGCAGAAGAGATCAAACTGACAATCAACAGTTAATAGTGATTAGAAGAGCTCTGATTGGTCGAAAATATTGTCAGAGGAGCCCTTACTATATGGGTATGTTTTACATGGCTGTTTAACTGTCTGGATGTCTCAATATTCAATAGTAAGAAAAAAACATTTCCTTGATGGCTTAGATGCAAATAAATACTATAACCTATACTAGAGGAGGGACAAAATACCTGACTTGTGGGATGGAATTATTAAATCACTTGTGCCAAAATCTGATATTTGAATTAAAAAGAGATGGCACTCTGGACATACTTAAAAAAAATGTGTGGGTTGCAAAGCATTCCCTTCTCCCGAGGTTATTTTGATAACGTCATCAGCGACCAGTCGGCCTCGACTTGACTATTATCTCATGGCGGTCGACTTTAAATACATCTCAAAGTCGTGTAACCCCAAATAGAAACAGGTCACCGTAGATGTTTCTCCTGTTCTTACATGACACTTTATAGATGTTTAACTGAAGGGACCTCAGTGGAAAAACATTGTAATATGAAGCGTCCCTGTTCTTTGTCTAGCAAAACAAGTACCGGTACATGTAGATACACAGCTCTAGAAAAACACGAGACCACTTCAAACGTATCTTTAATCAGCATCTCTACTGAAGCTGTGATTCAAAATCAGAGTTCTTCCAACAGATATTGATTTCTGAACTCTTTCTAAATCAAATCATGTCAAAAAAAGTAATATGAACTCGTTTTCATATCTATACATCTAAATACAGATGTGTATCAGTTTTGGGAGTAACAGTCTTGAGCGGTTTTTTAACATATGCACTCCTGAGAATATCTAGATAATTTCAAGAGGACTGCTCCGGAGGGGGGGGGGGGGGAGATGTGGTGTAAAAAAAAAAATAACACAAAGTAGCAATGTTATAAACAACAAAACAAAACAAAAAAACGTTTTGTGTAATCCGTGTGTATGTGTGTAGACAGTATGTGGATTCTGGTTCTGGTACACAAACTCACAACTATAAATAGTGGAACTAGAGAAACATTTTTGCAGTGGTCTTCATTTTCTTCTAGAGCTGCACTTCCAGTTTATTTCCTGAATTGCAGAGGAGCGACAGAGTCTGAAAGACAGAATTTTCTACTGAAAAGAGGGAAAGTCCAACTTTACCTGGACTGAGGGTTGTGATAGATGGTAGATGGTGCATTTTGTACGTCATTACTCACACTGAAATCTGATTTATGAATGGGTCTCTTTAGGGTCACCGCAAACAGCATAAAATTGTACTCTTTCTCTACATCAAAGGACTTATTTTAACTAACAAAAATATGTGGACGACTCCTTTAATACCTACTTGTCAGTTAGTGTGTGTGTGTGTGTGTGTGTGTGTGTGTGTGTGTGTGTGTGTGTGTGTGTGTGTGTGTGTGTGTGTGTGTGTGTGTGTGTGTGTGTGTGTGTGTGTGTGTGTGTGTGTGTGTGTGTGTGTGTGTGTGTGTGTGTGTGTGTGTGTGTGTGTGTGTGTGTGTGTGTGTGTGTGTGTGTGTGTGTGTGTGTGTGTGTGTGTGTGTGTGCCCTTGAGTCACCATCAGAGGATCATACTGACACTGTCATCAGTGCCAACTGTCATTGTTTTGTGCTACAGCAACACTGACAAAGCCAGCCCTCTTTTCTGATTTGCTGCTGTCGGAGCAGCTAGACCTCCGATTGGCTGCCAGGGCAAGGCTGATTAAGAGTGCGATGAGCAGCATGCACCTCCTCTCTCCCTCTCTCTGCCTCGCTCATCCTCTCACTGTAAACATCCTGCTCACGCTTGTGTGTGTGTTTTTTTTGTGCGCCAGAGAAGATCTTTGACAGCTTCTGTGCGTTTTTTTTCCCTGCTGCCTGGTCTTAGCATCTCCGATATGACTGATCTGTCTGTGTGAGTGTGTGTGTGTGTGTGTGTGTGTGTGTGTTACAGTCTGTGTGGCTTTGGATGTAAAGCTGTGTTTGGACAGCAAAAGCAGTGATGAGGGGTAAAAAGTGGGGATGCTGGTTTCCCTCATGGGATGTCGTGCTTGTTCGTTTTCCTCAGTGAGGTTATTTGCTTGCTTGGGTGACCGCTGTGTGTGTGTGTGTGTGTGTGTGTGCATATGTATGCGTATGGGGGGAATTATTCCGGCTGTTTTGGCGTCTGCTGCGGCTGCTTGGAAGCCTCCCCCCTCCCCATACCTTCCTCTTCCCCTCTGAGGGGTGAAGCAGTCTCTCTACCTTGCTCCTCCTTCGCACGGTGAGTGTTTTGCAAGTTGTCTTGAAGCGAGGGCAGCTTGTTCTCAAAAGAGCCGATGGTTGGTTTTTTTTTACGCAGCTCTCTCTCTCTCTCTCTCCCGTGTTGTACGTGTCCTACTCACACTCCTCTTTACGCTTCATCTGTCTCACACAGTGACCATGCAAGCATTTGACCTTCACATATACACATTGACATATTTTCGCCAACCTGCTCCCGTTCTCCTGCAGTAATTCCTGCAATTTCCTCACAATCTTTTCTTCTTCATCCTCCATGGTGCATCAGTTGTAAAAACACAGAAATGGGTCATGTCACTGAGAGGAGTTTGTGTCGGAGTGTGTGTGTAAGTGTGTGTGTGCCTTTCATGTACCAGTAGCAGGTTATCAGATGCATACAGACTTTTCACCTGCATGTTTTCCATTCTGGACAAACATGCTACCCCCATCCAATTTAAGCCATGAAGGCGGTATGAACGCTTCCTCCTCAAAAGTGACTGACACCTGATCCCTTAGCAACACATCACACACACCCACCACCTCCCATTCTCCTTTCCTTTCCGCTCTGAAATCTTTTATTCTCCTCTCAGTATGAGCTGTCGTCTGCAGGCTGGGTTTTTTTGTTATGCAATGAACCATGCTCTTGAGGAGTGTTTGTTCGCTGAGAATGACTTTTTGTAATTAAAAGGTCTTAATTGATCAAATAACCCAAATTAGATGTTATTTGATGAACAGATACGTTGATTATATTCGTCTGATATTGTTTTGTCAACGTCTTTGGGCTGGAGCTTTGCATGAAAGGTTGAATATGAATAAAGACCTTGAGATTTGTATCTTAAAAATTGTGAATTGAGGAGAAAAAATTTTCATGTTGCAGTAGTCCTGTTGTAACTGTAAAATCATGGTCTCCTCAGACCAAAAGCACAGTAAATATTTGCAAAGTGCTAGGCAGTGTGAAGTCCTAAAACTTCAGCAGGTTTGCTTTGTGCACTGAAAATACAGAAATACAATTAATTAATCAAATCAATAATCAAAATTCACAAATTTGCGATGAATAATTTAATTCTCAGCTAAAGCTTTTGTGAGGATTTATTAAAGCGTATTACAGACTAAAATTGTAACTTATTCCTCCGTACCATTGATTCCCCACTTAGGGTTTGGGCCCCCTAGGGTGGGCGCTAAAGGCTTTGTTTTTACTGAGGTTGTCAAAATCAGATTCCCCCATTATTAAATCAAGATGACGAACGATGACACGATTCAGTTGAAACTGCAAAGATATTTTAAGTCAGAAAACACTACTTGCATGTATAGAGGACAGGCAAAAAGATAAGAACCATGGCTTTGTCCACAGGGGTCACCAAGACTAAATGAAGTTCTTCAAAGTAACTTAAGGTGTGTTCAAACCAACAGTGCAGCAAACCCGTTGAAACATGAATCTGTATTGACATTGGGTCATATATGTAGTAGAAATGTGAAATAAATTTTGAAGTTGGTGCCTTCTTGGCTGATTAAAGGCAGAAAGTGTCTTTTTGGCTCATGTGAATGAAAGACACCAAATCCCAGAATGCACAGCACCGCAGGCCACTCCCACTAAGGTCAGGTTTACAGACATATTTACTTAAACACATACGGCCGTTTGCTCAACTGATTCCGAGATTTCTTCCAGAAGGAATTGGTATCTTGGAAATTCCTGTCAGAAAACAGACTCTATGTCTGTGTCCATAGGCAAATAGTGAGAGCACAGACACTACCAGTCCGCCCCGGCTCCTCGTCCTCACCGCCGCCAACAGGCAGGCCTTATGTCTCGGCTGCTGAGCTGGCCAGTAATACAGAAATATAGCCGCGAGGCGGTTGCTGTCAACAGGCCAGTTCAGTTTCTCGGCTGCTGTGGCCAGCGGAGGCCCCAGCGGCTGGCGTCTGCATCAGCCAAGACACAAGACCGGCCTGTCAGCAGCAGCCGTCTCGCCACTATATTTATTATATTTTGTTTTTCGCCATTATCATCTTTCTCCATAGACCCTGTTAGCATAGCTTCCAAGCAATATGGCAGATGTTAAGTTTCGATTCCGGGAATGAGTTCCCACCCACTGATCTGTGATAGGTCTGTAGCTTCAGTGGTCAAAAATATGAGGAACTAGCGTTGTAGTTTCACTACCTGGAGGTTCTTTAGGCTATGTGTGAACGCAAACAATCGCATTTTTCGCGACCACTACAATCTCCGTGCACGTAATTAAACGGCTGCTTTATGTTTTCTGTTTGTCAGTATGTTGTTCTCCTCTCTTTTGTGAATGTTGTCATTCCATTGGATTACACATAGCATTGATATGAAGGCAAATATTTTCATTATAACGTTGTGTAGCGGACTCGGCCGCTACTTCCCCCGTGCCCTCTCCCCTCTGACAGGGATAGTCCCCTGCTGTGAGGAGCATATGTGAACGGCTAGTTCGGGAGAATCTCCGGAGAAGTCCTCCTGTAAATATCTAGATATTATCCGGAGTGCATCTATGAAAACGGCTTTAGAAATACTAAGATTTCCCATCTCAGGGGAAAATTAGGGCGGGATGCACAACCATTCAAAAATACTACCAGGTTTCTAATGATACAAAGCTTAATGCAAATGGGTGACGTATCCCTTTAATTTAAACCAGATTTTAATTGCGGTGTAACTTCTTTAACACAGGTCAGTTGCCCTGCACAGCAAGACAGATGGACAGACCAGTGGTTGTTAATCAACAAATAATAACTGAGCTCACATACCTCTCAGCTCAATAAACTCAGCTCAATAAACTCTAGAAAATGGAGATATGTTGTATATAGGCTATGTCAGGTTAAACTGACATGACCTCTTGTCTAGAGCAATGGGTAACCATGCACGCATGTAGACGTAAACCAGCAAGGAGGGCTGAACGCTAGCCGCTATAGCACTGCTAACATTAGCTAGGGGATTGCAACAGTTAAGTTAAATAAATTGCTCAATTATGACTTTTTTCCAAGTGATTTCTTACCTCAAGAATAACAGTCTGAACTGATATTTGAGTTGAATCGACTTTGAAGTTAGTTGCCTAGGAACATTTATAGTTGCTCCGCACATGATTTGTGTAAATAGGCAACTTCCGGCCATTGTGGAGTAATCTTTTGCCCACAAGTAACAAAAAAGAAAGAAATGATTTTATATTTTGCTTTACTATGCAAAAATCTCCAGTCACCCCTTAATTTTTGGGGAAATTAATCCCCTTGTGCTACTGTGTCCCAATGTTAGCCAATTTAAATATTTAAAGGTCAGCAACATTTCAGAACAGGGAAAGTCCGAGTAGTTTGTGGATGTCTCCTGTGTCTCTGGCGACTTATTTTTCCTCTAAATTTGATCTGGGTGTGGAAACTACAATTTTATGTCAAAAAAATTGTGTTTCAGCCATTGAAACACTGTGAATTAAAAGTTCTGAATGCAGCAGTCTGTTACACCTCTGGACCATGTGAACTCAGTTGTGGCTTGCATTACTGATAAGGGCCGTTAAAGTTTGATGGATATATTTTTTGACTCGCCTTTGACTGACTCAACCCAGCAGCTTCATGGAGGCTAATATGAAGTGTGTCAGTTCTCTGAGAGGCAATATTTATAGTAAGCACTTTTCTCTGCCTCTAATGAGAACAAAATGTGTGGTGTGGGTGCTGAGGAGACCAAATTAATGAGCAACTATTTTACAGGGAAGAGAAGATAAAGCTGTTGATCCCAATAGTAATTATGTATTTGTAAAAATATTGACTATTGTTAAAATCTGTTATCTGTTCAAATCTGTTGTTAAAGGTTAAACCTTGTTAAAGGTTCGTAACAACACCCACCCCTAGTATTGGATTTCTCCAGTGATCAGTTGTGAAGACTCCAAGTAAACCAAGAATTTGTTGCAAAGATTCTCTGTACTTTTTCTGGCTGTACAACTGTTCACAGAGCAATACAAGAGAAACATGGGACCTAATTGGGATTCCTTGGCTTTTGCAGCCAGCACCAAGTGGACACTAGAGGAACTGCTGTTTTTTTTTTGCACTTCTAAATAGGTTTTCATTTTCTTGCCCCTTGGTTGCAAGCTAGGCTTTCACTACCTTTGGAAAAGCATGTTTTTCTTTATTCTCTTATGCGATGTTAATTGCTATAATGCTGGAACACTTGCACTGTAACCTCTCAATAAAGTTAGAGACATTAGAATGGTTACTTCTCGCCCCCAACATCAAAATATGGTCACTCCTGGCAAAACAATAAAGATAGCTAATCTCTAATGCCAAACCCAAGGATTCAACAGGCATGGGGCACCAGTGGCCTAATGGCCAATGCATGAGGTTATATTCCTCATATGGGCTGCCAGGGTTTGAATTGGGCCTGTGGCTCCATTCATGCATGTCATTCCCATAGACTGTGAATATGAATGGACGAAGCCTGAGTGACATCACCCACCTGTTACCGCAGGGGGCTTTGTAGTCCCATGGATGGCTGTTTCCATGCTGGTAAATGCTGTAACTTTACGTTACATCACACTCACCTTTTTGTCAATAACTCTTATCCTTCATAAAATCAAAACAGATGCGTTATCAACAAATTCACCCCGTACTGTGTGCAGATCAAGTCGTGAGCCTATGAGCCCTATTTTCTTTTTGTACCAGGCTGTAAACATGTTAATTTCTGCTGTAAAAACTGCTGTTTTTGAATGTGGCGTGTATGTGACTCCTGGTGCTTCTGCAGCCAGCCTCAAGTGGACACTCGACAAACTGCAGGTTTTTGCATTTTTGCATCGGCTTCATTTTTCAACACCAGGCCGGAGGTTGTCGCTTGGTAATTACCCACTTTCTTTCTCCCCTACACTATCCTCTGTTCTGTCTCTTCTATAAAGGCATAAAAAGTTGAATAACTGAATCCCAAACAAATGAAGTTCTCAACGTCACTTTGGCTCCTTCCCCTTATTTTTTTCTGTCTAGATCAGTAGTTGGCCATTTTTTTAAGTCCAGCTAACTAGCTAGTAAGCCCTTAATGGAAACAGATAAACCTGCTTCTTTCAGGTATTTTTTTTTGATTGATCCAGGTCGATAAATTTGTTTATGGGCAACGTAATTAAAAGAAGAACCGGATAGTTAAAGTTTGCTATTTAACAGCTGAATATAATCGGCCTTGTGATTTTATGAGTTTGCTGCAGCAGTTACAAAGACTATAGGACTCTATTCTCTTCAGAAAAAGGACAATCCACTGGATGTTTTATCAAGTGTATCTCTTTCTAAGCCCAGCTGCCCTGCAACTAAATCTCCTGATGGAATAGCTGAAAGCCTTGTGTAAAGAAATATTTACTGCAACTCCAAGTAAAGGAAGAGAGCACTGAGCACTGTTTTCTTTTTCACTCTGAAATCCATCACATTTCTATTTGCTGCATCCATCGGCTCCAATATTCCGAAGCATCAACGGCTGATCAAGAGCCGAGACGCTTCCCCAATCTCTATCTCTGTCCCTGGTACTATGGCTCAGCAGAAAAATTAAGCTGAGTCACCTCTTACGTCACAAACGAAGACTCAGCACGTAAACCCTTTGAGACAGCCGCCCACCTCTCCTGAAGTCTTCTTATTCCCCAGAGAACTGAAGTAAAAGATACAGACCTATCGAGTTGATTTAAGCTCTTTTGCTAATCTTTGAATAATTAGTTCAATCTGAAGACTCCAATTTGGTTGACAAATGGACACAGTCAGCTTGTCTTTCAAGGTTAGTTTCTTATTTAGGAGATGAAAGTTGCTGAGCTGTCACTTTTTCGTTTATATTTCTTTCCTCTTGAACTTAGTTGTGTCTTTCTTTCACTTTCTCTTTCCTGCTTTTTCTTTCATTCCAACTTTCTATTTTGCTTTAACACTAAAGCAGCATTGCAGGTAAAAAGTTTAAGAGTGGCTTTGTGACCCAGTTCTTTTCCTCAATTGTTGCATTTACTGCCCACATTTTGAACACCATTCTGGCACTGATCTTCCAAGCGCCTTGAGTTTTGTGGAGATGGCCGACAGAAGCCCTAGATCATAGCTGAATGGTTTTTGATCCAATAAGCAACAAAGTCTAGTGGTGTTTTCACACATACCCAAAACTCCTGAACATTTCTCCAAATTTATAGTAGGGAGCTGCGTGTGTGAACAGAAACAGCTGCATTTTTCAACCAGACGTTACCTAGATTTTACCTGCCAGCTTCCAAGTAAAATGTCCATTTGAAGTTGGAGTGAGCTGATGTGTAATCACAGCAAGTAATATTCAGGAACATTCCCTAATGAGGTATGATGACATTTTATGATGGATGATGAGGTATGATGACGTTGTATATCACCCAACCAGTGAGCGACTGTTGAGAGACGGGTGTGAGCAATATGTTCTTAGTGAAGTTATTTAATACTCTTTTCTGTTTGCACATATATTCTTTACAACTCATCTGTTGATACTGTGAATACGCCATTTACACTCAGCAGTGATATAAAGGTACAAACCATCATCATAGCATTGGACTGTTGATTTGTACGCCATATGGTCCTTTTTACATCATGTCCTGCCTTCTGAGAGGCATGTGAGGTGCATAAATTAATATTGCTGTCACTTTATGAACTTTTAAGGCAAACAGGACTATGTGCTTAAAGATCAGTTATTTCAATCCAGTTATTTTGTATGTCTGAAGCTGCTGACCAATGGTAATGGTCAATACTCGTCCAGTCGCTGACAGAGGTGGTTCTCAGTGCTCAATGAACTTCCACCTGAAATCATTTCAAGTAGTTATAATTTTGTGTCCCACAGGTGTGAGTTTATCTCTACATGGGTTTGAGCCCCACCAGCAGAGCCCCCACCAACGCAGAGTCCCGCTGCAGCCCTCCGCCTCAGGCTTCAAGGCAGCGGAGAGAACCCTCGCCTTCTCCTTTTGCAGAAAGGAGGCAGACATCATCATGGAGGAATCCTCGGCTGAAGCCCCGGACTCCAGCACTCAAGACGATGTGCCTCCCCTTGGTAAGACCCAACCACATTTATTTACAGTATCTATACCTTAAGGTTTCTGTTCAACAATGGCATTTAGGTCCTAAGGCACTATAATTCATACTAAAAGAAACAGCAATAAGTTGGTTTTGAGATTTAACCTGACATTTTATTATCTCATGTCACCAATCTAGTTGACTAAATTACAGCTACATCAAGGAAGACACTTTTATTAACAATAGAAACTTATTGTTTAGATTAACCCTCCTCTGTTATACATTTAAACAATGATTATTTAACAAATGCAACAAACTACGAGTGAAAGAACCAAAAAGATTTATGACCAAATTCCACCAAATCATCCTGATCTAACGTTTGTTTTAGCCTCATTCCAGCTCATTGTTTTGGTTTCAGGTTTGGCGACTTTGGTTTGGTCTATTTAGTTGAACTTCGATTTGAAATTTTGTTGATTTGTCAGTAACTTGTCATCGGTTTTTGAAGTGTAAGAAGATAATGACATATAATTTAAATAATTTTTCCCATTGTTGTTTGCTTCCAACTTTGCTTCCAACTTCACTTTTAAACCCCTAGATGGCCGACCAGCTCTTGAGGAGACAGATGTGTTGCTCCAAAGTTGGCTTAGTCCCGGAAACTTATCCTGTCACATTTTTGAAGTGTGCTCTTGTTCCCTCCAGATATGAAGGATGTTAATGTGCTGCTTGAGAGGGTGAGGTCTGGCGACACCAGCAGCCCGTCCCGGGATGACGATTCCACCTTGCTGAACCCGGGGACCCCCAGCAGCATCCTCGACGAAAACTCAAAGTCTAATCCTGGGCTCCCAGAGGTCAGTGATAAAAACAAAAACAAAGTAATTGCTCCCTTCATCCAATCTGACGATTAGGTATAAACCAAAATGGGAAAGGAGTAGTTTATACAGGGATTATAGACAGTAGCAGTCAGGTTAACATCCAGGTAGTCATCCATTCATTATACAATACATGATAAAAATGGATCCATTTAAATCAAGGTGGTAAACTCACGCTTTTCTTTACTGACTCTTGTCTGTTCTCAGGCGAGGAGTAAATCCAGCGGTCTTTGTTTCAGCGATGGAAAAAGCAGTATCGACTACATCCTGGTCTACAGGAAGTCCAGCTCCCTGTCAGAGAAGAGGGAGGTGTTTGAGCGGAACATCCGTGCCGAGGGCTTACAAATGGAAAAGGAGGTGAACAATGTTTCAATACGATAGTATATGTTTAATGTCTGACAAGAATTTGTTTAGCTTGCATGCAAATTGAAGGTAGCTTTTAATTGCTTAACTTGCTGATCAGCAACAAGAGAAACTTCTAGATGGCTATTGTAATCTCTTTATGCCATGTGCGTGTTTTGACAAAAATGTTTTTGCTCAGTGTTGGAGCAGTGAAAGCAACCCTGGTCGAGTTGCCATCCCCGAAATAGCTCGGCATCTTGGAATTACTGAACAAGGAGCCTTCTTTTAGCCAACGTGCAGCTGCATTCACAGTGTGCAACATGACATCTGTTGAGACCAATTTGTGTGAAGAAGCAATTTACTGCCCGGTCCTACTATGCATGTAATCTCAATGGCCAGATTGCAGACTTTTAAAACTCTCTGAGCCCTTGTGATTGGTTGTTTAAGGTCTGAAAGCTAAGTGCTATGATGATGTCTGCCGGTGGACTGACTAGGGAGCCAAAACAAATGTGCTGATGGCAATTTGCTCCCCTGTTGCTATCCTATTGTCACTCGAAAGAATGGCAAATGTGATTATTTTGTTCTGGTTTTTTTTTTTTTTTCCTTCTACAGTATATTCTGATGCTGAGGCATCAAGGTCATCATTCTGTAGAACATGCAGGGGAAGACAATACTTATTGTCCCCTTCAGCAGCCCACTTATGTTAGTTTATTGTGTGGAGTCATTCGGTTATTTTTAGATCTCTGTCCTGTGAGCTCCTGATTCATGTACCTTTAGACTCACTCCTACTCTGTTGGGACATACAGGTGAGGAAGAGAGGAGATCCTAACGAACAAACAGATGTATTTTATTGAATGTATGTTGACGTACGGCTAGAAAAACAAAGGCATAATGCTCTGAAAAGAAAGTATTATTCACAACATATTGCTGAGTTGTTGCTGATGTGCTATGTCACAGAGTATTATGCAGCCTTTTCATCTTAACCACACACACAATTAATTATGTGTGTGTGTCTTTTGTTTCCTTACAGGCCTCTATAACAAACAGTGATGTGATTTTTCTGAAGCTTCATGCTCCATGGGATGTTCTTTGTCGCTATGCAGAGCTCATGAACATTCGCATGCCTTTCAGGTGAGACAACAGAATAATAAATTTAATTATTTTTTTAACATATTAAAAAATCCATATTATCCTCCATTTCAACCAGTTTGAAAAAGTCCCAGAGGTCCCAAAAACATGTCTGTGAAGTTTCTTGTTCTAAATCCACTCTGATCCTGTATTTGATCATGTCTATAAACCCCTCTATTTCAGCCCTGCTCAGAACAGGCTGTTTCTGTGTCTGTACCTTTAAATGTAAATGAGCTGTGTCTGACCACGCCCCCCTTTCTGGAAAGGTTTGGATGGCTTGAGCTTTCTTGCACCATGCCAAATGGTTTACAGTGAGAAGGCAGACTCAGAGGGCAGAACAAACACCTAGTTGTGGGCGTGTCACCCACCTGGGGGAGGGGTTACTGCCCTTTGTGATCATGAAGGGAAAATCTCCAAAACGGCCTGTTTGAGCACACATTTTCTGAAAAGTAGAGCAGGAAAAAGACGGGGAGGATGGACTTTTCTCATACTTTGGGGGTTTGTTGAAAGACTACGGATACATATTAGTGTTTGAAAAAAACATGGAAACATGTTTTTTGCATTTTGTGATCTTCGAAGGTGCCCTTCAGAGTTAATAGTTTGCTCTTCAACATAGCTTAAAGGTGTTTCTTTTCCATTTAATTATATTTGAACCCTCTGTTGTATACATTCAAGTTATCTAGCTTATAGTCATGTTCTTCTTGCATTGGATTTATTGCTATGTTTATTTGGGTGATAAAGCCACCAACTGTCAATCAATGGAATAGGTAGAAACTGGCCCCAGACATGTGTATTTTCTACCCTGCATGCTCCTGCCCAATTAAGACAAGAACAAGGATCCATTCATAAAAAAATGTACTCTATAGCGCTACAAGTGGTCAAAGAGCTTCAGTTGCTAACTTAAAGCTCCTGTGAGGTGTTGTTATGGGGGGGTTAGTAAGAGGGGATTTATGGCACACGACACACATTTTTAAAAATGACTGTATCAATCCCAATGAGTTATACATTAAACAGTTTAAAAAAGCAGAATGACAGTTTTCTGAAATGGCACTCCTTACAAATGTACCAGAGAAAATAGACTAAGAAATAAGAGGAATGTCCACAGGGGGGCGCCAAAGTCAACGCAAAACAAAAAGTTCCTCACAGTAGCTTGAAATGTTCGATTTAATTATAGCATGATCATTTTTTATTATCAGCAGTATTACTTTTTATGGTAATATCTGGGAACAGGCATAGAAACACTTCCAGTAATAGTAGTAGGAATAGTTGCTGTGCCATGCTTATAATTTATGTTGCTTCGTGAGTAAATTCCAAAATTAACTTTCACAATTTATTTCAGGAGGAAAATATTTTACATGAACCGACGGCACAAGTTCATGAGCAGGTGAGTGTCCAGTCGAGGATGCAGCATGGGATTACTTGATGAACTCTCCTCATGTAGATTAAACATGACTTTTTACTCACAGGATGGAAAAACGCATCAACAAATTTCGTGGCTGGCTTCCCCGCAAACCCATGAAGTTTGACAGCGACACTCTGCCCGACCTGGAGGAGAACGAGAGCTTTACCGCCCCCTTCAGTCGATCACGAATTCATCAGTACGTTTTTACAGAACTGTCCTTTAAGAACTCTAAGAAATGACTTAAACTTTATCTTTTTCTGCACATTTTCTATTTCCTCTCTCACACTTGTTCTACTTGGAATGCTCTCTGTTGCTCCTCTTACGCATACACACATACACACATACTCACATATAGGCCTTTACACATACAATCAGTCACAGCACACAGATTTGTAATAACTGGTTAATTTCACCGCAGTTTCATCATCCACAACAAAGACACATTCTTCAACAATGCCACCAGGAGCCGCATCGTCCACCACATCCTCCAGCGGGTCAAATATGAGGAGGGTAAAAATAAGATGGGTGAGTTTTTTTTTCCCAGAGGCACTATGAAACTTCTAGACATATTTGAAATGAAAGAAAACTGACCTAGAAAAGGCTTCTGTAAAATGTTGAATGTGACATTCAATTGGTCTGAAAGTGAGGCCAAATACAATTGTACCAAGCAAACATGATTTTTTTTTTCTAATTTGGATAGCTACAATGCTGGCAAAGCAAGTTTTGTAAACCAAGGTCCCATTTTGAGCAGTAACCTGTTTTCCTGGGAGCCCCCCCTATTTGTAAAGTAGAAGGAAGCTCCTGGGCTTCAGCCACTCCACAAATGGAGGTCAGTGCTCTCAGAGAAGGACTTAAGATGAACAAAAAGTATAATTCAGTGGATACCTTCTTTCAGACAGGATCCCAAGAAAATACTGGAGCACACGTATGACAGTATATATTCTCTGTGTCTAAGAAAAGGAATAGGTACACAAGTGTTTTATCATGATTTTGGTTAATTTGTGCAAATGTAATTTTGAATAAAAGCAGACATCACATCCCACCTGAGATCTTTGCCACACATTAGTATCAGGCTAACATCAGAGGCGCTGCTTGTCAACAGGCAAGGCAGGCAACTACTTGGGGCCCCAGACCAGTAAGGCGGCCCCTGAGGGCTCACAAACTTTGAACCACAGCAGTGACCTGAAATGTCCAAATTTTGCAATGACAGTAGGAAACCTCCCTAAGGGGGCCCCATCTGACAGCCCTCACTCTTGTTGCCTTGCTAAGCTTTGCGTTTCCTCTCCGTCTATTGGAGAGGAAACAGAAACAAGAAAGAAGAGGAGTAAGCGTTCAGACAATGGCAGACATAAATGGTAATTAATGCGGGTTGTAGGGCCCCCAATTATCCCTTGGCTGAGGCCCCAACAGACTCTAGGATTGCCACTGGCTAACATAACATTAGAAGCAGTAGCTCATCTGTAGGGACTTAAGGTGGGAACCAGAGGGTCACTTGTTTAAGACCCGCTGTGGAACAAAATACTGAAGTTGGTGTGGTTGCTGGAGAGGTGCCAGGTCACTTCCCGAGTCCTGACCAACAGTCCCCCCAACATCTCTGGCTGCGCTCCCTGACGCAGCGTGTAGCATCCCCACTCTGACACCTCCATTCATGCACGTCCACAGGTCCGTGTTTGTGCATGTGTGTGATTCAGGTGTATGTGTGTGTGAAGCATGTCCCTCAATAACAGTGTGTAAAACTAGTATGTATAATCATAATAATAATAATAATTTGACAGAGTTTACACAGTAAAAACAAAGCTTACAGTACTACGATGCAAACCTCAGCGGAGTTTAACTAAATCTTTTTTCACATTAGGTCCCATGTGTTTTGTTTTTTTTTGTTCTTCAGCTTAGCACGACTAATGAGGTTTCTCCAATTTATGATCGCACAGAGAGGATCAGTACCTTAGAAAACGGATTAAGCAGCAGGGCGTAGAATGGGTCAGACTCGGAGCGTATTATTACAAATGCCCTTTGCTCAGACTGCAATGCATGCTGTTTGAATTCAACAAAAAAAAAACATATTCTAACAGCATTTGAATTTTAATGAGCAGTAAAATCCCTTGAATCTTTGATCTTTCACTGACAGCATCAGGCATCTGCTGCTCTTGATTCACACTTCTCTGTTTTTTTCATTCCAGGGCTTAATCGTCTTTTGAGCAATAACTCGTATGAAGCAGCTTTTCCTCTTCATGAGGTAATTATGCTCGTGTCAACTGCTTTCTGTTTTTTGAACTGATTCCATGCGAGGAATAGTACAGGGATAACATTTCTCTCTCTCTCTGTGTGTGTGTGTGTGTGTGTGTGTGTGTGTGTGTGTGTGTGTGTGTGTCTCTTTCAGGGGAAGTACCACAGCAAGAACTCCATCAGAACACACGGAGCAGAAAACCAACGACACCTGCTGTACGAGTGCTGGGCCTGGTGGGGGGTTTGGTACAAATATCAACCCCTGGACCTCATCAGGTACCTTCAGTCAGTGATTTTTAAATAACACATTTTAAATCAAAGCATAACAGGTTGTAGAAACAATAATGATTTTGAACACACGATTGATGCAGACTCTCAGGATCTGAACAAACTGTCTTTTTTTTTTTTTTTTTTAAGGTTTCATTTTGGGCTTTTCATCCCTTTATTTTAGAGGTGGAACAGTGGATAGAGTCAGACAGCAAGGAGAGAGAGGGAGTGGGGAATGACATGTGGGAAGGGATCCACAGGTCGGATTTGAACCTAGGCTCGCAACATTTACGGAGAACTATAGCCTCCGTATATGGTGCGCACGTACTAACCACTAGGCTACTGGCGCCCGAACAAACTGTTTTAACACATGACGCTGTGACTGCTGCTCCTTTGATTATTTTTTTTTACATCTTTTAACGAACTCACACCTGTTCCTCTTGTGCTCTGCTGATGTTCCAGGAGGTATTTTGGGGAGAAGATCGGTCTGTACTTCGCCTGGCTCGGCTGGTACACGGGGATGCTGTTTCCTGCGGCTTTGGTCGGCCTCTTGGTATTCCTGTACGGTTTCTTCACTCTGGAGCACTGCCAGGTCAGGTAAACACACCTCCTCTCTTCTCTGATAAAAAAAAAAAAAAAAAAGTATATGTCCCTAGAGCTGCTGCTTGTATTCATAGATTTTTCTTTCTGTGGAGAAAGAAAGCCTTATCTGCTTTAAATTGCTTGTACAGGCTGCACATATGCACAATAAGTGCAGATTAGACATTCAGTTCATTGAATGAAAAGTCAGCTTCCTTATAGCAGAACTCATTTGGTATTACAGATAAGGCAGCAGAGTGTGAAATGTCCCCTTTTGAAAATGGAATTAGGTGATTTTGTGATGAAGTAAAGAAATTAGTTTGAAATAAATGTTAATGCAAATTTGATATATCGTCACTTTTTTTCCACTTATCGTTTGTTGGAGCATAAAAAAAAAGAGTGTACTATATTATTTAGAAATCTGAGTACAACAGGCTTAGATGTTTTGTTTTGTTGAAATGTAATGTAAACCATTCAACAGTCTGATTGGCTGAATGTTTTTCTCCAGTAAAGAAATCTGCCAGGCCACTGACATCATCATGTGCCCTATCTGCGACCAGTACTGCCCCTACCTGAAGCTGTCGGACAGCTGCATCTACGCCAAGGTACTGTCGCCAAGACAAGGACACAAAATGTTCACATCTCTGGACTCTGCTGGTTTTCCCCCCTGTACAATGCGCAGCTGAAACGCTGTTGTTGCGAACAGGATGAATATTGTTTCTGTCTTATTTTTACATGATGTAAAGAGCGTTCCATCTTCTTCTCAGGTCACACATCTCTTTGACAATGGAGCAACTGTTTTCTTTGCTGTGTTCATGGCTGTTTGGGGTGAGTAACATGTTACGTTTATGTACCTACTGTATGTCCCAGGTGTTTCTCGTGCAATCATTTGGATGTACTTACAAAACCTTTTCTTTTTGGACTCCCAATAAATGTAAAGTTTGCATTTATTTTTAAGTTATTAATATACCGAGTGGCTGTGAATCCAATAGTTACTCTCCTTATAGCTCTGTTTTGGTCTCCACCTGCTGGGTCAAGCATATCAGACTCTGTACCCGATAAATCCACTTTGTTATCCAGGAAGTCGTTTCAGTTTTCTTGATGTGCCGTGGTTTACAGATAGCTATAGTCGCCTTCTGCTGCTTGAAGTAAGACTGTGGCTGCATCCCAGACCGCATTATTTCATACTATTCATACTTAATAACGACGTCACATTGAGTAGGAGGTATGACCTAAAATCAGTGTGGTGTTTTGTGTATGCAGGCACTACCTGGATGTTTACTAGATCAGCCAGAATCTTTAAGTATGAAACAGAAACATGCTGTTCATACTAAACCGGCCCACAATGCATTGCAGCTCTCAAACTGCCCAAACGCAGAGCTCGCCAACTAGTGGCTTCAAATAAAAGCTCCACGCTGAAATACATTTGACATGTTGCCAAATAATATTAAATTACTTGTATGTAGTTGAATTGACAGACGCGCTAGCTAGATCATGCTAGCTCATTGAACAGAGCTCGGACCACGATTTATTTTACAAAATGAGACCGAAGACAAAGTAGGAGATGACTGAAAAAGATTCCTTCAATTTTTTCATGAAAACACCAAGGTGCTCGTAATCTCTTTGGCTCTTGCACTCGTTTGGGCGAGCAGGGGCTTCAAACCCGCTTGTGAGTGGGGTTTGGCCTTGGTGTCGATTAAATGCTGCATCATGTTGGTTGTGCTGTTTGTGTAGCTCCCTGTCTTCATGCAATATCTGCACACAGTTTTTGTCTTGTCTGTTATCTTCTCACCTCTTTCATTTTCTGTCTTTGGGAAGCCAAAATGCTTCCACACCTCCGAATTAAAACACGGTGGTGCGTCCTCAATTTCAAAATCTTGCTCTGCGGCTGCCAACCGCCTCTGCTCTGCAACTGCTGACGCTCACCATATTATTGTGATTCTTTTTCCAGAGAATGTGAATCTTGACTCCTTTGAATTGATTTTGAACTGCCTAACAATTAATTTTCACAATCCTATTGCTAATGGCATACTAACAATCAGGTTGGTATATATAACCTGCAGTATACATGTATATATTTGGAGTATGTAGTAGGCAGGATGTAGTATGTGGTTTGGGACACAGCCTGTGACTGAACCAAGTCATGACTGATGCAGGCCGAGAGACTCGAAAATAATTTTCTGAAAGAGTCTAAAAGGCATCACTGAATACATTTAATTGTGTGATCATTTCCTGCTGGTACATCATAAGGATAAGCACTTCTCACATCACATAATGAGCTTTGACCCAGTGTCCATTTAAATTACTGATACGTGCAACATTACTTTATTTATTTATTTTAATACAATCTCTCATTATAATAAAGCAGCAGTCATAACTACATTTTTAAACAGAAACACATTTGAATGCATATTATTTGTTGAAGTATTCATCATAATCATCATAAAGTGAAAATGAACAGGCCACATTTTAAAACATCTTTGTAAAGGGGATGAGGCAGATGAGCAGCCTGTCAGTGCTGGACGAGGTCCCAGGGGATAGAAGGTCCAAACAGAGAGTTTCTGATTGGCTCATATTCTTCACCTGATGACCACACGGCAGGTGATGAAGCAGCAGCACCATCGTCATGTAGCAGATAGGTGGCTTGTTTATTAATGTGAAGATGGCAAGATGAGGGAGCTTAAAGACAACGAAAAGAAACAGAAAATTAACCAATCATCATCTTTCAAAAGAAAAAGGATGCATTAGAGAAAAGTTACTGAATTGTTTGTTTCATACCTGCACTGAGTTCTTAAACTTTAGAAGAGAAGTGGTGAGGCAATTTTTAACAGAACTGTTGATAGACAGATCTCGTTCTGCTTTTCTCACTTTATTCTGTGTTATCTTAACATATTTAATATAAACTTTATTAGAAGAATGTGCAACTTTTTGATCCAGTAGAGGTCGCCCTTGAGCACCAGCATGAAACCAAAAAAAACTGCTGTTTGGCCACACCTCTGCTATTCTGAAGCCTCCGCTCTCCTCCAGAGACACACCTCCAACCCCTCTCCACTTGAGTTTGCACAAAGTAGTTATCAATTAGAACCCACCATTAAGCACCATTAAGCACAAGCGGTGGACAAAATCGTCCTTTACTCGAGCTGCAATTTCCTGTGTCCTGCATTGTTGTGTTTGCATGCTAATGTTAGCACACTTTGGTTAGCTCGTAGCTTCATATTGCACATAAATTGACACGGAATGAATGTGATCTTAAAGCGCTGACGTGATATCCAAATAAGTAGTGAGTAGGCTGTGTTATACTTTTCTCTAGTCCTCGACTAAAACAGCTGGCTGTCCGGAATGTTGCACATTCTTCCTTTAATAGTATAAACATTCTTTCAAGCATAGATAAGGATGTGCTTGTTTATTCTACTAAACCATTAAATGTTGTCACCCTCACTAGTCCTTCACCAGAATTACTGGTCCAGTTAACCCATTACCAATATGTCTAAATTTTAGCCCTCAATGTCAGTCAAATATTATATTCAAGCTGTGCTGCAGACACTCGTCACTAACAAAGGCTGTAGCCAAAGACTGGCTGTTGTTCTGGTTAATGGGCTTTCTCTCTCGGCTCCACTACCTGGATGTAAAGAAGCTAAGTGGACCGATGGCATCTCATAATCTCATGGCACAGTGCATTTTGGCCGTTTTTTGATCTAGAAAATGTTGCTCGAGCTGTATGAAGGCTGTGTCAGGTTTAACTGGCGTATCAAACAGAGCAATTAGTAACCACATTCAACACGGTCATGTGGATGCTTACCTGCAGGAAGGACCGAAGACTAGCGGCGCTAGCACCGTTAGTATACCACACTGCAAACCAATCTGGCATCGTACCTCTGGTAAAACTGCTGTTTTGACTTTATTCGATTTATTTTTTATTTAAGAGCTTTCTCAACTTTAAAGTAGCCAGTTAGTTTGCATTTAAAGCTGCATTTAATCGACTTTGGAATTAGTCTTCTGGTAACATCACTAATTTATAACCTTTTTTGTTAATGAACTATGTTCTATCAGTCAGTTCATAGTGATGATCACTGTTATTGCCTCATGTCACCTCTTCATGCGAAAATTATTCATAAAATAACTCAACTTGCTCAATGATATGGGCAAAAGGTCTGCAAGATACAATAAGATTGTTCACTAATGCTATAAGGATATTAATCGTGAGTAATAAACCAAAATGAAAGAGTTCATTCAAGCTATAACTCAGTCTCATAGTCATATACTTCAAGTTTAACACTATACCTGTATTGTCATTTCAATATAAAATACATACAAAAATCTGTGTTTTTCAACACTAAATTGCTAGCTTGGGCTTCATGTGACTGCACCAACATGGTGTGAAGGACCATTATACTCAGGCCTCCACCAAAAGGGGTTAAATATACACAAGCTGACTGAGAAAGCATTGCTGGTTTCCTGGAAATTAAAACCTTATTTATAGCAATAAATTCACACTATTGCTATGTGCTTATTGCAAATACTCATGTCCTAATAACATGTTAGCTTTCTTATTTATAAAAAGATCTTCAACAGTAAAATTGTAAATGAAAACATAAAAAAGGACAAAATCTATTGTGAAGGCTCACCCATTAGTTTGTTGAGAGTCTCTGGTTGCTTGAGAGCCTCTCGAACTCTGTTGTCCAATCGCCAACATCTCAGCATGAAGAACAGAGCTAAACACAGCTGCAGGGCAAAGGTCAACACGCCCAGCACGATGATGGTGTTGTTAACTGTTGAGGGTGAAGAAGAGAGACAGAGAGGGTTTGTATAGTAGCCACAAACGTTCATATAAAATGCATAACTTATAAGTAAAGACATAATGAATCTTTTAATCGTGGTCAGTGAATGCTGCATCTCTCACAGTACAGTAAACCTACTAATGGAAGCTGTGCCGGCCCTGTTGCATAAGTGTGTGTTAATAATTCAGACTCTCAGACATATTCAGACAATGTGTCTATTGTGGTGGAAACCCTATCCCTTTCACACATATTATAAATGTTTTATATTGAACTGCAGATACATTGAAGTGAGAGCAGCTCACTTCAGTTTAAAGAAAAATGTTTTATGAAATGTAAATCTAATGTCAGCATGCATTATTTATTTAAAACCTTAAATCTGCAATAATCTTTAACAAAAGTCTGACCACTTTGACAGGCTAACTATTTAACATTCCTAAAGCTACAGTACCAGCTGAAGATACTTCTGGTGTTGACTCCCATTGGACGATCTCTGGTTGAGAGGCACCCAGAGTCAGGTTTTGCTCCTGGAGGAGTCCCATTGGTCAGCTCCTGCACTGCTGCATTAAAAGACAAATACGCTTTTTTTAATTACATCCTGGTAATTATAATCATTTATGTCCTGTACAGAAAAGGGATGACATCTATGTTATACAAGTACAAACTTCCAGGTTGAAAATAATGCCAAAGTGAAAGTGGGAAAACAACTGCAGTTCCCCAGGTGGCCACTTGAGGTTGGCAGCAAAAGAGGGGGAATCCTTATTAGAACCCATATAAAATAGTCCTGGGGGTAAAGCATTAATAAACATGTTAACATCCGGAAATAAAAATGATTTTGGTTGGATAGCTGGATAGAGTCAACATTTCCAATATGGCGACCGCCATCCTTTGGCTTCAAAACGCCTCTTCAGAAACCAATGGGTGATGTCACTAAACCTATGTCCATGTTTTATACAAACTATAGTTTCATAGTTAGCCATGCCTAACATGCTGTTAGGATGTTTGTCTGTCTCTTTGTGAGTGATATAGGTTTATTGTGTGAACACGTGGACATCCATTTTACTTTGACTGAGAGTATGCATTTGATGTGATGGCACAAAAATGACATGTATGCAGTATGAAACACTTTTAGCTAGGATTTTATGATTTAAAATAAATTTCATTCTTTACGTTTGATGCTAAATGTCTACTCTATGGTTAAATAAAGGGCAATTGTTAACTTGAATTGCTCAAGTGTCTTTCTTATCTTGACTTCAAGCTACCTTTAACAACCTTTAATGAGATACAGACCTACCTATCAGCACCGTGCAAACTGAACTTTAAGCTCATGCAGACTGTTGAATAAAATGCTGACAACAAGACAATGATTTAATCTATTCTAAAACATCCACCAAAGCACACATTCAAATAAGTAGACTTTGCAACAAAATGTAATTTTCTGACTAAAGTGGCAGAAGATCGAAGCACAGCTGCAGAGACATGCCAGAGCTCAGTCTGATACCTACAAATACTTAAAAAACACACATTTGAAGTTGTTTTTTTATGTAGTTTAAAGAAAGGTTTACAGTATTGTACTGACCTTATAGTATTAACTTCTCCGTGTTGCTGCTGCTGTCCAAGTGAATGTATTTTTGCAGCTCGACTGCAGCGGAGAATCAGCTGAAATCACTTCATTAAGGTTCCTCAGAAGTGTGTTCCCCCACTGGCCCTCACATGGGACGCAGTGCCCTCGGCCTCAGTCAGCCACAGCTCCACATTCAAAACATGTTAGCGTTCAAAATGGGAAGTGGACACAAAAGAGAAATACAACTGTAGAAATGAGTTTAAAATCTGGAGGTCAAAGCTTGTGATCAGTGTGAAGCCTCTTCACAAATGTTGGATCTCTTTGCAGTGGAGAGGCAGGGGAACCCTTGTGCAATAAGTAAGCTATCCACAGGACTTTGTTCAGGACTACCTGCCCTCCATACCAACATTGTGTCCGCGTCGTAATGAGAAGGACTGTCATTATTTGTACTAAACACCCGAGTTAAATACAGTCCACTGACACTTTGCCCTGTTATAATGTCACCACAGTCTGAAGTCATATTCATGGCATCAAACCAGCTGAGTCATTGCTGAGTCCAGACTCACCTTTACATAATTTTGTGCTTCACGAGCAGTCTTGTTTGCTGTCCCTTTTTTCGGAAAAATGGTGGTGTACAATGAATGATATCCAACACTGTTATTGACTGTTTTTGGCCCTTGGGGTTTGTGTGGTGTGCTATAAGAAATTGAGGACCGTCGTCACAAAAGGGTTGAATGGTTTCTGCGCCTGCACAGACCTGTGCACAAAAACCCCAAAGGGTTAAAGAACTGGTCAAAGTGTCTCTGTGTGCTGGTGCTCTTTGTACGTATTTGAATGAACCAGTAGTAATTCGAGGGGAAATTGGCCCTATTCTATGCAAATCAGCCTTGTTGCAAAAACCCATCTGATTAACAAACCGCGGTGCTAATAGCCACGCACAGTTACAGTGGAAAAAAAGACTATTTGCTGAGAGCTGGTGGTGACTGAGCTGCAGTACTAACAAAGGAGGCCATGCACACGCTTAAGTGATCAGGAAAATAATTCCGCCTCTGTATGTCTTTAAAATACATTTTCTGGAAACACAGTCTGTGAATAGTACTCTGACGTCACTATGAATTGTTTCATCAATTTTGGCTGTCAGCTGCTCGGCCGTTTATCCACATCTATGGAGTCATTATGCACAGCGAGTATGTAAGTGTTGTTGTTGTTTTTTCTTCCAATTGTCTTTGCTTGCTCCACGCAGGGAGTAAGCTTCGTTCTGAAACTCGTCTCACATTCTGTGATTCTGGCCTCACAATGAACTTGAAAGCGTTCCCCTCCCCTCCCAGCTCATCATCTTTATGTGGATGACATAGTGCTCTGTCAGCATGAGAGCACAACTCTGGGCAGAGAGCTTCTCTCCGCATTAGGTCGTAAAACAGGACCAAACAGCACGGAAAAGGAGGACAATTTGAATTTCTGAATTTCATTAGTGCTATATGCTTTGCAAATTAGATCTTGTCATAGAGCAGATAATGGGACGCAAACTCTGCACAATTTTTTGATGCATTTAGTGGCCACAATCCCCTGATTCTTTATATGACAAAACGATAATAACATTTCAAAGTACATTTAAGGTAGAGTCTGTTATCGATAACATTTGGCAGCCTTTTACATTTAAATGTATATTGCCCCCTTTTTCCCCCAACATGTGCCGATTATCAAACCTACTCTCTGGACATAACACAGAGAACAAATGTGACGCGTGATTTATTGTGTCATTATGTAGTTTGTCCAGCAGGGCGCGCTCTTAATCCACTATCCTCTCAGCACTTTCTGCAGCACATGCAGGAGAGCATTACAGGTGAAGGGATGGTGATGTGTGCTGGAGTTGGTTGTGAAAGTGTAGCTAAACATCATTACTTTTAGTAATTTACTCAACAAAGCAGCCAGTGAAGTCTCCCCCTGCTGTCCATTAGAAAGAATGCAGGAGTAAGGCACGTTCACATTGGCTCCACTTTCTTTATCCAGAGGCTTTTTTAATATGTAATGTTAGAGAAATATCACCAAACTTTAAAGCTCCTGTGAGGTGCTCTCGGGTTGCTTTGACTTTGGCGCCCCCCTCTGGACAAAATAGTACCTCTAAACTATTTGTATATATTGTCCTGTAAGTAGCCGATGAAAAATCTCCTCAAATATAGAGTTCAAATGTAGAAATATTTGAACTGTCAAATATATCACTCATTGGAAAATGTAAACAAAGCTGGTTCTGTAACTCTATTTGTCTGAAAACTACCCGACGTCTTCAAGCATTGAAAATGATTTTATGATCGATCGTTATGCCTGCTTGTGTAGGTCATACAGAGACTTCAGTATTCATTTCCATCTGTGTCATAATCATCCAAGTTCCCCTCAGCTTTATAGAGCATTTTAGTGTCTTTCAGCCGGTTGTTTTTGGTTTTATATCTTGCAGCTTTACTGTTTCGTTTCCTCTTTCGTCAATCTTCAACCCCATTTCAAGCAGCAACAACAAAACCTAATTACTCCCTCTGTACAGTACCTTCCCTCCTAATGGCAAAAAACAATTAAAGACCCAGTAGGTGGTGAACATGAGGGACAATTCTGCTGCCAAAGCTTTTTCCTGAGAGTTAATTTGGGGATAAAACATAACAGCTATTGGATTAGAGCCGCTAAAAAGTAAGGTGAATTTCAGTTCAATCCATTTTAAACGTGCTATACTGATATACTGTATATACTAATGATTCTGCAGGTGGCATTCCCATAATTCTAAAGACTAAAATCAGGGTTTAGTCCCCTAAAAGAGACACCTGACATTCAAAGGGTTTAACAATGGACCTAATGAGGAGGTCAATTCCTCCAATTGGGATCATTAGTCTTACAAATATGTGATGCTGTTTTATTCCCATCATTCAGCAACCGTCTTCCTGGAGTTCTGGAAGAGACGCAGAGCCGTCCTCGCATACGACTGGGACCTTATCGACTGGGAGGAAGAGGAGGTGAAGTATATCCTCGTTTTGGTCTTTTCAGTTTTTTGATTTTCTGTGTCTGCAGCTACAAAGGCTCTGTGAAGATGTAGACGATTCTGTTAAAAGAACATCAAAAAGTTAATGGTGCAAAGCTGCAGCCATTTCTGTTTTCTTTTTCTTCGTAGCTTGATTATCAGACTTGTTGCTCGCTGGCTTCATTCAAAGAGGTTTCAAAGATGTTTTTGCATGAGTCTGTGTCTAATTTATTAATGACTTGCTGGAAATGTTCAGTATCAACCTCTCAAAGAGAGAGAGAGCTATTACAAAATTAAACCCTTTCACAAGTGTCGCGCTGCAATTTGATAATGTTCTTGCCTCTCTAGTGACTCAACCTAAAACCCTCATCTGTCAGTCAATATCAAACTCTGAAACGTGTTCTTTTAAGCCACACTCACACTAGGCAATCTGTACCGGGCCTAAGCACGCTCCACGAGTCCAGATTGTTTGACCAGTATGAGTGCGCCTTTCTGTGCTCAAACACGGTACACTTTTTCTGCCCTGGCACGCTTGGAAGAGGTGTGTTTCGGCACGATACAGTTCATGCACAACATAAACAGCCTTCATTATCGAGAAACCCTGGACTGTAATGTCTGTATCCGACTAAAATGACCCAAAATCTCATCCTGCTGTCTTCTCCATTTCACTCCACATGGATCTTTGCCTCTGAAAAAGTCAACAGAGGCTGTTTTTAAAGCATGTTGCTGATTTCCTGGTGCGACACCTACCCCCCAGCAGTGTTTACAGGCATTCAAATATCTGTATAGAAATTAACCATCTCATCACTTATGGCCTTGTTTGCTTTTGTAGGTCACATTACTATTCATTTCAATCTGTTTCATGACCGGTTAAAACCTCCTGGAAGGACCTTTAATAAATAATTCAGTCTGAAAAGTATTATAACATTACTGAAATGTCACAATGGCCCTTCCAGAAGTGTCTTTATCACAATGGCATGCATTTCATTTTATATATCGCCAAAGCTCTGCACAGGATCGCAGTAACACATGAAATTACCACAAACTCTTAAAACAACATTATTAGATTATTTATTTATTTATGGGATTTTTTATACCATTATTATTCCGAGGGGAAATCCTGGTTTACACTGGTTATTTAGAGATGTTCTTCTCATCCCCAATCACACACCTGAGGACCTGAGGATATGCATTAGTGGAGAGATGTCAAAGTGGGGCTGCTACACACTACTTTTCAGGGTTTGGTGCCTTGCTCAAAGATTTGCACTGATACCTGGATATTTACCTTTGCGACTTCATCAAGATACCGTTTCCAAGATGGCAGCCATGTGAAATCGCAAAGTGCCAATATGTCTTCAAAGCCACTTAGAAAGTCAATCTTGGTGTCAATATATACATTTTCTGGGTCAAGGAATGCATTAAAATATCATTTGATAATTATTTGTGCCAAGATCAAATACATATGTTAATTTTGGCAATGTATTACATCATTTTCCTTGGTTCCTAGGCAGTTGGACATTAATTCATTCATCGATTCATTCAATTTGGTGTTTTTGCCAGGCGTGTCCCCATAATTTTGCTAAGCCGCCTGACTAAAAGTAATACTCTTGCCCAAACATGTATCATTACCTGATAACTTAGTTTCACATACCGCTGGATTTTGCTCATGCTTCTGCCCCATGTCTCTCAGGAGGAGATTCGACCCCAATTTGAGGCAAAATACTCCAAGAAGGAGAGGATGAATCCCATCTCTGGGAAGCCGGAGCCTCACCAAGACTTCACCGACAAATACAGCCGCCTCATCGTCTCAGCGTCTGGGATCTTCTTCATGGTGAGTTTCTTCACTAAACAAATGTCAAGTAGCAGCTGTGCCCCTCTCAGCACCCTGACTCTGACTGGAGGATCCTTTCACTGCATGTCCCGATTGTAGGTGCAGAAAATAACTATCATTAGTAATCCACCGTGTGAGGATCTATTTTTTTTTTTTTTTTTGCATAGGAGCCAGTTTTGACAAAAGTTTATGCCTTTTTTCGGCCTATGTCTGATCTTTCTTGAGGCCTTTGCACACTGAATCTGTTTTTCTGGATGTATTTTTTTTGCATCCATAATCCATTGAAAAAACGTTATACACATTTGCGTCTCGTCAAGCAGTGAAGCAACATTTAATGATTCTGTCACTGCTTAAAAAAAGAGTAAATAAAAACTGTGTCCATCCACACCTGAAAAATAAGACCAGAGCAAGGAGAGTTTCACCTGCTGATAAAGGAGCTGCGATCGCTTCCAGGTGTATTTCAGAATGTCAGTGGTCCAGTTTGATACGCTGCTTGTCATACTGGAACCCCACATCAAAAAAGACCACCACCGAATGGGGCGCCTATATCCTAGCAACATGTGCAGAGGCTTATGCCCTTGAGAGTTGGGCAACCCAGGTTCAAATCTGACCTGTGGCTCCTTTACCCGCATATCGTCTCAAAACAGAGAGGCCACCAATTGAGCAGTTGAGCAGCGGTTGGCAGTATGTTTGAGGTAGGGACACAGACCGACACAGGAATGGATGCGACAAAACGCAAAAAATGTGTGCAAGAATGTGTGTGCAAACATGATTGACACAAAACTAGATTGCATCTCTTTTTATACATGTGGCAATTCCGGAGGAAACAATTGGACTCAGTGTACAAAGGCCTTTAGCATTGTTATTCTGACATCTCCTCAGATCCTGATTGTGATTGCCGCTGTGTTTGGCATCGTCATCTACCGCGTGATCACCGTCAGCACCTTTGCGGCCTTCGGCTGGGCTCTGATCAGGAACAACTCTCAGGTGGCGACCACGGGAACAGCAGTCTGCATCAACTTCTGCATCATCATGCTCCTCAACGTGGTGAGTTCATGCTGTTCATCTGTAGCTACTGTACCAGAGATGAAGTGTTCAATGATGACTTACAAGGCAGAGATGATCATATGACAAATCATAGGACACATGACAATCAATGTACAAAGATGCAAAACAAACAAGAAGCTCAGGACATTTGTATTTAAAGGCTTAATGTTGATGTGGTTTTGTTACAGTTGAGACATGATAAATGTGCAATAGAGCCTGACCGATATGGGGTATTTATTTAAGTGATACCAAGAGCTGTTTTAGGTTTTTAAAAAATTACAAATATTGCAGCAAATCCAGAGATTTTCAGGGCAAGAATCACACCAATAATTGAATTGACACCAATTCTGGATCACCCAAGAATTGTTTTCGGCATTATCTTCTGTAAAAGAGAGTTTATTGGATCTAATGGAAAAACACCCTGTCATCAAAGTGTAGAGGTTAAAGGCACAGAAAAGCCAGATAGTATTGACACACTGATAAATATCGATCAGGCTCTATCTTTCATTCAGTCCTCCTTTATTAAACAGTTCTAATCTTTGTTTTCCAGCTCTATGAAAAGGTTGCTCTTCTTCTCACTAATTTAGGTAAGTTGAACAAATCACAACTTCTTACATTCATGTATGATGATGTTTTACGTGTACACTAGCTAAGTTTGATTCAACTCTTCTTTTTTTAATCAAACAAATTGTTGTCATCTTGCAAACTAAAACCCTTTTAAGTGACGCCATAGGATGTGAGGTCTACATCCTTTGATTGGGGAATTGCTCTATCAACATTTCTCTTTTCTCACCATGCTGCGACAGAACAACCCAGGACAGAGTCGGAGTGGGAGAACAGCTTTACACTCAAGATGTTCCTGTTTCAGTTTGTCAACCTCAACAGCTCAACTTTCTACATTGCCTTTTTTTTGGGAAGGTGAGGACCTCGCGCTGAACTCACTGAAACAAACACGTCTTTCTCTTAACTGAGTTGGTTTTTCAAGCGTCTCCACGGCAACAATCGATGCATTTTGGGACAGTTACTATAATGTTCTACAAAAAAAAGCTATCCACTCAGCAGAAAGTATAAAACAGTCATAATAATAGACTGATTATGAACACAGCCAAAAAAGAACAACCGAAGTTAAGTACCATTAAGAAAACATTGAAACGATAAAAATAGAAATGTAAACATAAAGGTGTGTGTCATCTGCGTAACAGCAGACAGAAGCCGTTTTCAGATATGCACTCTCAATAATGTCAACAATATTCAACAATATTTAAGGACTGGATGCCCCCTTCCTGATACGCTCATACACACATGCTCCTGTCAGACAGGATAGGGGGGCGGGGTCTCAGGATGGAGGACAGATTTAGCCTTTATATTAATGCTACATGTAATTGGACATATTCACAGAATCAATAATTGAGAGGTTAGGAGCATACATGCAAGCAGTAAAAGAGTATAAAGCAGATTCACTATGTGCATGTTGGTCGCACTGGTCCGCACATTGGTTGCTTGATCCGCTCGCTCACAGTGTATTTCCTCGATATGTCCTGCTACATTTCCACCTCGGGCTCAGCCTGCTTCACACAAACACTTCACATGGGGGCTTACAGTAAAAATTAAGTCTGGGTGAAAAAAAAAGACTGGATTTCTTTAGCAACACCTGCAGCTCCTCAGGATTTTTGTGTATTTGTGAAAACATGAACAAATATACCTTAAATCTCATATTCAATCCTCTCAGAGGACACATTGTAAGTCAAGTGGAAACTGTCAAGATAAAGATAAAGATGGTTTTAAAATCTATAAGCACAGTTAGGGCGCACTCACACTACGCCTGCAGTAGCCCAGTACTGTGCTGAAGCACGATTGTCCCCCCTCAACGTCCCACCCCCATTCCCCATTCCCCAATTAGCTGCATGATCATGATCCTAGACCAAGACTGCAAAACATTGGCTTATTTTGAGTCATTTTAGTCAGATACAGCCAGAACACTGGGATTTCTCGATAATGGTATAATGGAAGGCTGTCCAATTTTTGTACCCCATGCTTGTGCTCGTGCATGAGCAACTGTACCGTGTTGACGCACACCTCTTCCATCCGTGCCAAGGCCAAGGAAGTGAGCACGGAATCGGAAGCACTCACACTAATCAAACGAACTTGACTTTGAAGGTGAAGCGTGCTTGGCCACCGTCCGGCTTGTTTAGTGTGAGTGTTCCCTAAAATGGAGCTGAGGGTGAGCACAGATTCCAGGAGTTTATCTGCAATCAGAACCCAGTAGAATTACTGGACTCTTTGGATTTCAGTACAACTCAACAAAAAGAAAAGACCATTGTGTTAAATGCATCTCACTTACAACTGCAAACACACGGATCAATTGCACAGCAAATAACTACGATGACTCGTTGACCATTGCAGCGTCTGCGGCTGATGATATTACAGTGTCGACTGAGGTTAGAAAAGCAGACTTTATTTTCAAAAGAATGTGTTTTTCTTGGTTGGCAGATTTACAGGCCGGCCTGGTGCATATCTACGCCTCATCAATCGCTGGAAACTGGAAGAAGTGAGTAATTACTTTGCGTTCCCATGGGGGAATAACAGCAAAGCACTTTGCCTTTAAGTCTTTCTAAATTGAACATTAAGCTATTACTATATGCCTGAACCACCAGGCGTTTATCCCCCATCAGCAGTAAGCGGTGCTGCCAGCACTACTTATGGGAACATGTGGGGATAAAACACATACTGAGGTGGTCTGAGGGGATGGAAGGCCTGAGCTGGCACTTTAAGGCGCTGAGCTCATGCTGTCCTGCTTGTTCCCGCGGCTGCTGAAATGGAAACAGGAAAAAACAAATCTCTGTGGTGTGACATGTACAGAACAAGTGCAGCATGAGTCGACCTTTAATGACCATGTCATTTATAAATGTTGCGTAATAATTTTACAGCGGCAAATTACGCTGACACATAAAGTTATTAAAACATGAACAGCTCTTTTTACAGGTTTTCTTTATCAGGATTGTAAAATATATTTTGAATAAAAAAAGAGGAAACATGATGAAGATAAAAAAGTAACCACCTGGGGCGCTGGTGGCGCAGTGGTTAGTGCGCGAGCCCCATGTATGGAGGCTGTAATCCTCAAAGCGGGCGGCCCAGATTCGAATCCAGCCTGTGGCTCCTTTCCCGCAGGGGATCAAACCCCTGACATTATGGTTGAGAGACGATGTATTAAAAATATGTGAGTCCTAGGCAGAGTTGGTAATTTTAAGATTTTGGTTGAAATTGTCTTTAGGTCCTGACAGACATTAATAATGCATGTTCTCTGAAAAAGGAACAAAAAAAATCTGTCATCTGTAGCAGTTGTAAGCCTGTAAAAACTACGACCAATGTCTGCCACGAGGTAGCAATCTGATGAACCAATCACATGCCTTCCTGTCTCCCTGCTCGTTCTCCACCTCTTGTGTGATCTAGCCCACAATCAAAGCGCGTTTATACTGTGAGTTTGCCGTTGGCTGTTGTGAGTAGTAAAATAGTCGTTTTTTTTGGATTATGATAAAGTTTAGTGTTTACTTACCGCTGAATGAGACGTAAGATGACATAGTTTCTACATAATGCAAGAGATGAGCTGAGGTCCGCTTCTGGACCAACGGCGCTCATGCATGTAAGTGAGGGGCATGGCTTTTGAGGGAGCACAGAGGGGAGGGGGTGGGTGCAGACACAGCACTGAGGGAATGCTACTTTCAAAATCATGCTAGTTTTCGAAAATGACCAACCCTGCCCTTAATAGAATGCATAATAAAACCCCTAGTATTAGCCCTCATATTAGTGTTAGTTATGGGAGTAATGGGGGAACCAATAACATTTGCAGGTAATTGTTACCAAACACTGCTAGATCCGGTCCCTTCCTTTGTCAGATGAGCATCTAACACTTCTACGGTGAATATTTATCTTGGGAAAATTATGAAAACCTCTATTTTTCACTTCGCTTTATTACACACTATCAGTGATTTACCATTTATATAGCCTGGACCTGTGTCCTGCATGCGTTGATAAAAACCTCTATGCATGAGATTTTCTGTAATATTCACTTGATGTAGCTACATAGAACACTAACAGAGAGAAATGCAACAAAATCAGTCAAGCAGCGATGGCTCTTTCTACAAAAATGTCAACTAATTCCATATTATGCTTACATGGTAAGGGTGCTATTGTACTGTAAGAGAGAGCAACACTTTAATTTCCCTCTCTCTCTCTCTCTCTCCCTCTCTCTCTCCCCCTTCATGTTTCTGCAGTGTCACCCCAGTGGTTGTCTTATTGACCTCTGTATGCAGATGGGGATCATTATGGTGCTTAAACAAACCTGGAACAACTTCATGGAGCTCGGCTACCCGTGAGTTCAAAGCTACAGACAAAACGACAGTAAATTAATTTAAAATAAATGAACAATGTCAGCAAGATAATGTGTTCAGTATTCATCCTCAGTCAGACATTGAGCCAGTCGACTGTGTTCCTGATAGTAGTGATAACTGCAGATATAATTATATGCACCTCTTTTCTGTTCTGGATCAGTCATGTCTCCTGTCTTCTGTTTATTGGTTGTTTTGGTGTTTTTCCAGGCTGATCCAGAACTGGTGGACCCGGCGGAGGCTGAGGAGGGAGCACGGAGAGACTGCCAAGGCCAGCTTCCCTCAGTGGGAGAGAGACTACAACCTACAGCCAATGAATGCCTACGGACTCTTTGATGAATACTTAGAAATGAGTATGTTGGGTAAAAAAAATTCTTTACATTTATAGCATAGAAATCTGTAATCTTAGTAAAAATCTTGCCCAGTGTTGTTTCCAGTTTTACTATGTAAAGGTCCAATATGTAAGATATCTACTGACTTAAATGAGTAAATGATCTTACTATATCATCAGACATTAAAAAAGCATGCTAAGTTGAAGTGCTGGTTTCTTTGTCAACGACGCAGCAGCCAGTATGTCCTCCTTCTAAGTTTAGATTCCTGTCCGGAAGGCGCCTGTTCGTTTGATAAGTGAGTGCTCCGCTCCGTGCTCTCTTCTTTGGCCTTGGCACGGATGGAAGAGGTGTTCATGAAAAGTGGACAGCCTTCCATCACACAGCGTTTTTTTTCCCCTCTCCCCTCGGTTCATCAGGTATAAGTCAAACCAACAGGTGTTACAGCGATTAAAGCTGGCAAGCCAAGTAGTGCAGATATATTAAAGGCTTAATATGTGATTTTTCACACTTAAATGTAATATAAATCAAGTATATCCTCTGAAAATAACTCTGAGTCATGACTGTCTACAATGGGTGTAACACCCGAGTCCCACTGTCTGTGATGTTTTCAGAGTCCTATCTTCAGTTTGTTTACATTGCCTGGACGGCCGGCTGACTCCTCCCCTCACGTATAAAAGTTGTTTAATTGAGGGACTAGAGAAAAGAAGAATAACATACTGTACTCACTGCTTAACTGTGTTTCTAGATCACGCTCATTTCAGGTAAATTTACATGCAATTTACATGCAAAAAACTCACTAAAAACCCTTATTTCAGCCTCTGCCTGAAACTGTCATGCCCATTTTCTTCTGATTGGCCAGCTCTCTGGAAGCTTTCATTGGGGCAGAACGCTGCAGGGCTGCCAGGTGAGGGCTGCTCTCCAGTGCTGGGAGAAGAGAGTCTATGTACGAGGTTTCAATGGCTTACGTAGAGGCTTGAAGCGGTCTCGTTAAGTTCCAGGTTTCATATGGGGGAAGCATCGTGTGATTTGCAGAACAAGCCGTCCAGCACACTCTGTGGACTTATCCTGGGAACACTCCAACATTATGTTTACCTCTAAAACATTGCCCATGTTTATTATGAGAATCTAGTATTGTAACTACACAGGGGAGTTTTAAAATGGGGATCAGCATCATAGGTCAACTTCAAGCATCCCGATAGCAGAAGCAATATCGGTTTGTTTTCCTCTCTGTTGTGAGGGCATTAAAGAGAACTCTTGTGACAGGATGATTTGCTTGTGATCCTTTCAGCTTTTAAGAGTTTGCTGTGCAGTTATTTGTTCTATAAGACAAGCGGAAGTCTGTGCTACGGCTTTTTCTCGGAGTGAAATTTTAGTTTGTTGACATACTAGCTCTAAATAAAGAATCTGAAACAACCACCACAAACAAAAATCAAACTAATAACTCAGTCTTGGCCATGGCTTTGATAAGATTTAATGTGTCAATCCTTCGTCCCGCTCCAAACTATCATCCAAATATTGACAGCTTCATATCCAAAAAAAACAACATGGCAATTTGTGAAAATACCTTCCTGAAGTTGTATTTGGTTCCAAGCATTAAAAGCTCTAGGACTATGATTAGCAAGTCACCATTGGACCTGAAAAGGTGTGTTTTCTTTGTGTTTGCTTCAGTTTTACAGTTTGGCTTCACCACCATCTTTGTGGCAGCGTTCCCTCTGGCTCCTCTCTTAGCGCTGCTCAACAACATCATCGTATTTTTTGATCTTTCCCGTAGCTTGACTTCCTGACTATATGGACTGTAGGTGTGATATCATTTCTACTTGTGTTTAGGGATCTGGTACGGTATCCTGGAGGGAATCGGCATCTTGTCCGTCATCACCAATGCCTTCGTCATCGCTGTTACCTCAGACTTCATCCCTCGCCTCGTTTACGCCTACAAGTACGGACCTTGTGCTGGCCAGGGCCGAGCAGGAGAGAGGTGAGTGAGGATTAGTTTAGTTCAAGTTAAAATGAATTAGCCGTAAACGGGACTCCTCGTCTTTTTAGTTCACTTGTTTTGAAGTGAAGGTTCCGTAGCAGTGGATCATTTTGTTTTGTTCTGCTCCTCAGCTGCATGATGGGATACGTTAACGCCAGTCTCTCGGTGTTTCGAGTGTCCGACTTCGAGAAGAGATCTGAGCCGCAGATGTCTGGCTCTGAGCTCAATGGAGAAGCGGTCAACTATTGCAGGTGTGTGTGTGAGTGCAGCTTGAAGTATAACTTATTTTTTGTGACCCAAAGCCACCAGAAGAGTTTTCCGAAGTTTCCATTGCACAAAAAAACAAACTGCTCATTGTAAGCTTGTTCATCTGTAGCAGGAATTGGCTGGAAGCCTTTGTGCAAGGATGGATTGTATAACCTGTTTTTTTCATGTGTGTTCATCCATCACTTTATTAATGATCCCTTTTAGCCAACATGCAGCCTCTTACTGAGCTCAGCATAGAATATATTTCACACAAGAATTAGGTCAACCCAGCTTAAGGTATGGGAAGCCCTAAGAGGACATGCATCCATACATGTTATTTGACTCTGTTTTCTTGGTAAAACCAAGACCAACCAGTGGAAGTCTGTTGGCATTTCTACAAATGTGAAAGCCCTAGTAGAAACACAATATTGGGTCATGTTTGGATTTAAAAGAAACTCCTGCACACTCTACACATTGCAGTCATAGGTTGGTAACGTTTAGTGCAAAATAGACTACAGAATCTGTCTCGCTGTCTCTTTTTTGGTTCAAAAATGTGACGGAAGATCTGAAGTTTCTTTAAACGAACAATTGAAATCATTAAAATAACAAAGGTTGTATGGTTTTAAAACATGTGGCATCGAAAAGCGTTGAAAAACATCGAAAAGTCTCGTTTCTGACAACTGTAACTCAACTATAGTTTGAATCCGTTTAATAATCTAACGACCAGATATCTTTTAGAAGTGACATTTGCACTCATCTGTTTGACCCACCAGGTATCGTGACTACAGGGAGCCTCCAGACTCTGCTGAGCCGTACTCGTACACTCTACAGTTCTGGCACGTACTGGCAGCCCGTCTGGCTTTCATTATTGTGTTTGAGGTCAGTGTGTTTAACCTTTGACAGATGGTTTGATTTTGAAATTATTTCTTAAAATTCTTGGTCATTACGTTTACTTTCCTCCTCTACATCTTTAGCAACAATAAACTATAAATAAAAGAGATCTCAAAGGTTTGATTCTGTGTTTTTTTCAGCATATGGTCTTTGCTATCAAAACCCTGATTGCATACCTGATCCCCGACCTCCCCAAGGACCTGCGGGACAGGATGCGCAGAGAGAAATATCTGATCCAGGAGATGATGTATGAGGCCGAGCTGGAGAGACTGCAGAAGGAGAAAAATGAGAAAAAGAGGAAAGACAGGACCCATCACAAGGAGTGGCCCTGAACGCAGTGACAGGTATAGACATGAAATATATTGTGTGTAACTTTGTTTATCATGTTGGAACAAATACATTTACTGTTCTCATAACCAGCTACTACATGTGCTGCAGTGGTGATAGTTTAGCTTCAGAAATAACAACTAATACCATCAAACATTTGATGAATTCAACAGTTTTTTAATCAAGCAGTGGGATGTGGAGTTTTTAACTGGTCACGAAACACAATGGCATTTATATCTCATAAAATGGTCTCCTTATTCTACAATTCTACAATTCACTTAGCAGACGCTTTTATCCAAAGCGACGTACATCAGAGAGTAAGAACAACACAAGCAGAGTAAGAACAACACAAGCAAGGATCTAGAAAAAAGGAAACAATGTCAGTAAGAGCAAACGATCAGCTTTGAGTCTGATTGGACACACAGGTGCTGACAGGAAGTGACCAGAGGCAAAGCACAATATGACGGCAGTTCTTGAGAGCTCTAATCAGTATAGAAACCATCTTATAAGTCATTGTTATCAAACAAAAACCATCATCATTACCATCATCATCATCATCATCATCAATAATAATATGGAGACCATCATCATTAAGTTAGTAGGTATTCATGAAAGAGCTGTGTCTTTAGCTTTTTCTTAAAGGTGCAGAGGGACTCTGCAGATCGAATGGAGTTTGGAAGTTCATTCCACCACCAGGGGGCAACAGAGGAGAAGAGTCTAGTCAGAGACTTAGGACCCTGTTGTGAAGGTTGGATCAGACGCCTTTCATTGGCAGAGCGTAGTGGCAGGAAGGAGTGTAGACCTGGATGAGAGAGTTAAAGTAAGGAGGAGACGTTTTTGTCGCTGTTTTGTAAGCGAGCAGCAGAGTTTTAAATTTGATGCGAGCAGTAACTGGGAGCCAGTGTAAGGAGATGAACAGCGGAGTGACATGTGCTCTTTTAGGAAGGTTGAAGACCAGTCGTGCTGCTGCATTTTGTATCATCTGCAGGGGTTTGATAGTGCATGTAGGAAGAGCTTTCATTATGAGCTTTAAGAGCAAATGAGACCATAAGCATAGAGAGTCACTTTTCTATCTGGTGATTTTTAATGCCTGAATCTGCTGCCGCGGGGGTAGGTGTCATATGAAATGAGTAACAGCAAATATCCATGATGAGTGGTACATTTAAAAGTTAAAACATATGGACAGGATAAAATTAAAGAAATAAAAGGTACAGCTTCGTCCGCAAATGTGTCTCTCTCTTGTGCTCAGGTTTTCAGCTGGTGTTTGGTGTTCACTGCACCGTGGAGGACAGAGAAGAGTGCTGGGTTTCCTGCATGATACTGGAGCCTCTCACCATGTCAGACCAGCACCACCTGGTGGACTATTGATGAACTGCACCCTTCATGGGCTTGGTGGTTACCTCTGAGCCCCTTTCCTCTGAACACACATGAGATGTTCTCTTGAACATTTGGCAGTTGGTTTTGCTACTTTTTTTTTTCAGATGGTTTCTACCACTTTGGACTTAACAGTGTATGTCTTCAGATCCTGAATGTAGACTTCAAACCAGACTCAACGTTTAACGACTTCTTGTCTTAAATGAGGGGCACACTCTCCAAAGCTTACTGAATGGCAAACCCTGTTTACATTTCTCCTTTCTTAAGGAGTCGACATTTTGCTTTACTGTAAATACAGACGTTTAAGGATATCCGCTTTGCTAAAGTCTAGTGCAATAACTAATAGAGAATGTCATCTCAGAAATCGCAGTGGGATTCTGGCTGGTGAAAGCTGGACTGTAATTCTTATTGTTTTGATGAAACCTGGACAGTATTGCTTGATAGATGGCTGGTAATTAAACTGCATTGAGTTGGAAATCGCTGCAAAGGGATAGAGCGTTCAAATGAAAGTGTGAATGACACAGCTGTTGTCCAGCGGGGAGAGAAACTGAGATGAACATATATGGGTTTTCTTGCTCAGCGAGCTCACAAATAAAAGTAACTTAGAGATCTATTCAGTCCAAGCTGTGACTGTGTTCACACTGGGTTTGAATTGGAAATGCTTCCATTTTGAATTAAGACAGTAATAAACATATTTATTGTAAAGAAGTCTGACTTTGATGCTATGTGTGTTTTTCTTACAGGGGCGTGTTCAGGTTTTTCTGACTGGGGTGGCCCAACTGGGGCACTGACTTAGGCAGGGGTGGCCTTACATGTTACGTCCACACACACATACACAAGAATCCAATTTGTTTACCCTTTCTAACGCCAACGCGAATCTACTTTTATGCAACCCAAGAGTGGCAACATTTATCTTTAGCCTTTAGAACTATAAAACAAGGATGTTCAAAGTTACAATTTGAACTGATCAAAAACTTGATTTCAGACTCTTGCACACTGACATGCAAATACATTTAAACACAATGTCTCAGTACAGAAAAATTCTTGTTAGTTCCTTACAACACAGTGCACCTCTCTTTGATATGCAGGGTATTTATTTACAATTTAAAGGTCATAAAATAATATACTACATTTACATTGAAGAAAACTACTTGCAGCATGTTGCGAAAAGAAAAGCCAGAACCGCTGTGTTAGCAAACGTCCAGCTTCTTACAAGGCAAACAGCCAATCATTGTTTAGGATTTTTTGGGGGGCCAATCAGATTTCCAGAAAGGGCCAATGCCACCCCTGGCCAACCTTCTAGACCCGCCGATGCTTTCTTCAGCACTGAGATGAGTTTAAACCCTCTGAACATTCCTAAAGAGATACAGTCATCTGTTTATTTATGTCAGAGAGAAATCACAAACATATTTCCAAACGGCAAAGAAAAAAAAGGGAAAACAAATTCCACGTTTCTTCGTAATTCTACGTAATTCTACGTAAGTCGTTAGTCTGTCTACCGGTGCTCTTAGCGTCAATTTAAGTGAGCCATTATGCTTCATCTGGGGGGGGGGGAATCTGCCCTTTTAAACGCAATTTAGCGTCATTGCAAAAAGTATTTATTTCACTAATACAGTTGCAAATAGCCAGACACAGATAGAGTGGAAAAAAAACTACCATCTGTTGGTAACTGGGCAGCAGTATTTATGAGAGATGTCACATGCCAACTTTCCACTAATCAGGACAACAGTTGTACCTCTGGATAACCTGTTAAGTCTGTAAACATTTCTTTGAACTTATTATTATTTATCTATAACCAGAAGTTAAATCAGTCTGGGTCTGTCACCATCTCAACACTTTATTCACTTACAGTACAGTGGAGGCGTCTGGAGTTGTTTGGCCTGACCAGTGTTGCTGCTTGTAAACAGGCAAGGCAGGCAACTGCTTGGGGCCCCAGACCAGTAGAGGACTCCTGAGGGCTCACAGACTTGAACCGAAGCAGCGGCCCAAAATGTGCAAATTTTGCAATGACAGTAGGAAACCTCCCTAAGGGGGCCCCATCTGACAGCACTCAGTCTCGCTTCCCAATTAATAGTCGCTCCCATTATTGCGGTGAAAACCAAATTTCGTTGATGAAAGTCGACAAAGAAGGATGAAGAGGAATTATCCATCTATAGGAGAGACAAAATAAACAGGGAAAAGAGGATTAAGAGTCGGGACACTGGCAGACATGAACGTGTTGAACGCAGGTTGGAGGGCCCCAACAGACTCGCCACTGGACATGGCAAGGTTACTACAGTTTTTTTTTATTAGACTTGCCTTGGCTTTCTCTCCATTCAGGAACCGCTTTGTTTGAAACAGTGAAAACTCAGATCACATATCTGAAACTGCACTCACATCAAACTTGAAAATGTTTCCCCTCCCCTCCTAGCTCACTTTCTTTATGAGGACATAATTCAGCTCTGTCAGCATGAGAGTGCAGCTCCACACAGAGTCAAGCTGCAGATAGCTTTTCTCCCCATCAGACGCAAAATGAAAGAGTAAACTACACGGAGGGGGACACATGTTTGGGACGGTTTTAGCCTGCAAAATTGCAAAAGAAATACGCAAATTTTGTACAACGTTTTGACTTATCTATTCTGCGTGAATCCAGCCCTTGGTGTGCTCAGTGGTAGTTTTGGTCCTGGGTAGTAATTCTCTTTTACACCACCAGAGGGCGCCAGCAAGCTAAGTTGCACATCAGCTACAGCTCACCTTCATATACGAGAGGTTTATTTGCATACTTCTGGTAATTATATTAAATAATAATCATTTCAGAACGCTATGTAAGTCATATAAAAACAAACATGACTGCAAACATTAAACAAGCAAAACTGACAAACATCCTACAGCTGAATCTGGAAATTAACTTTGAAGGCTGACCAGCTTGTTATCTCCATGCAGATAAGTGGGCTGTAACAGTCGTATGTTTAAACCCAACACAGCCCTCACGACAGAGCCATTTTATGAGTTTAAAAGCTGGAAATCCGGGGAAATCAATAATGCGTTCAAATGCCAGAGTCAATATTTAAATATGCAAATGAGTTCAGATCACCTTCTACGGCCTTTAATTTCATGCCACATCACATTACTCCTGGGACTAGAACTGTGCTGGAAGTCCCTGCAGCTGTATTTTAATAAACAAACACATCTGTTTATCCAGCGTCGATCACTATCTGCTCTCTTTGAACGGACAAATAATCATAGATTAGAGAGCAGAGGCTTTTCCCCTGCAGCCTGGATTACCCTGGTGTGGGGGCCTTTGCTCAAACTCCATTTTGATTATTAAAAGCCGGGGACAGAGGAGGCAAACTGTGTTTTGTTTCCTGTTAAGGCGACTCGTCTGTAAGAGGATTAGCCCTGACACACGCTCAGTCAGGGTTACGTAAGGCTGTCAGGGGATAATATCTGACATTTCCTCATATCCTGCATTTTGGCAGACCGGCACTCTGGGAAATTGATGTGGTGCACTCATGTGTTGTAGCACACAGGAGTGCAAAAGAAAGAGAGAAATATATGCGCTTTCTTTGCCACAAATAAAATCAGATGTCTTATATATTTTCAAATCCATCATCTTATAGCTGGAGAATATACTTTATGAGGAGTCCAAAAA